CCCCACATCTTGCTGCAAAGCATCTCCACAACTTACAAAATGTTTTCGACGTACATGGACTTCATAATATGATTTTGGTCTAACAAGAACACCACAATATATGCATGTTCTAACATCATGTTCACTGTCGTAATGCTCAGCCAAGTCTTCTGATGTTGGGACAGAAGATTTACACATGTCACACTCCAGAGGAAGATGTGATTGCCGTTCATGTTCCACTAACACATCCTCAGATTCAAACAGTTGAGAACAGAAATGGCAGTGCTGCATTGAATGATTCATCACCAAATGAATGACTAATTTTTCACGAGAAAAAAACCAATCATTACATATCTCACAAATAAATGGCTGTTTGCCTGGTGTTGAAGTGGCAGAATCCTCTTTGTGCAATGAAAATGGCTCCTTTGATCCTTTCATTACCCGAGGCATAGTACGCATGTTGGCTGTGCTACCCATGATTGTGCCTTTCTGCGTTTCATTTAGCATTAATGGTTTATCCACCTCAGAAGCAGAAGTTCCGTACAACCAATGCTTTTGTGAATGGCCCTGTTGGTCCAGTGGTAACATTACGCCTGGAGTCGGGCTAGATGACAGGAGGTGGGGAATCATTAACGGATTTAATAGTGATGACGATGATGGAAGATTAAGACTGGATGGGTTCTGAAGTTGCTGCTGCTGATGTTGCTGCTGCATCAGGAGAGCCAACTGAGGCAACTGGAGACCCATTGCAAGGAGTGGATTCATGACAAATGGGTTCATGCTTCCTGGAATTTCACCAGTAGACCTGATACCAGAAGAGAAGTCTTTGTTGCTCTCCAAATCCCTATCACCATCTTCACTACCACTACTGTTCCTCCTCATGCCTCCTGAAGTCAACTCCTCTTGACCACTATCCTCTGCATTATCATCCAGTTGTTCAACATTTGCTGCACATTCCTCATTTGTTCTCTTGCCCCAGTTTGATAGCCCACTGTTATCTCTTGATGTCTTTGATGATATTTTACTTTTCTTTGGACGAAACAAAGGAAAACTTGTCCGTTCCAAATTTGTTCTATCACTCCCCTCTTCATTGTAATTCATTCTTTTCAATTTAGCTTTAGTAGTGAATGCATTTACTTAATATATGCATTACTTAACACTTCTGATACATCTCATACACATCTTGGGGTTTAAACAGACCTACTATGCATTTGCTTAACAGAAGTAATTTGATTTCTTGACTGAAAATTGTAAAATATATATTTATGTACAAAAGGTATTTGTAGGTTGCTTATACTTGAAAAAGTAATCTTTTCATGGTATGATGTGATGCACCTGATTAAGGGGTTTTTCCTTCTTTGGTATTTCTTCAGTGGAAATGCAATATTTAACCAGTTATTCTATTGTTAACAGTAACATAAATTTCTGTTGATGAAAATCGAACAGAGGCCTACTGTACAATTATGGGATATATATGAAATATTGTAGTATGTGTATAGATATAATATATGGAAGGTATGTCTGTGTAGATAAAATATAACTTGTATGTATTCCTGTAACTATTTCAACATAAAACTGTGGATAATCTGAAGCAGATATTAAGGCATAACCCGTTGTTACTCGTTTAATTGTACTGTCTTCTTTTAACCAATTAATTGGCTTCCTTAGTGATCAGATTCCTGTGTATTGTGGACTAGGAGGTCCGTAAATATTTAAAAAAAGTTTACTGGTTTATCCCTGAGAAATTGCTATGTACATGAAGGAATTTCTCTTCCCCCAATTTAAATCTTGTGACTTTTCACTATGAAAATTCCATTTCCAAATGTAGTATATGTCTTCCCTTTTTAGCCTTTCTTCATTGTCATGAGATGGAAGTTTTTGGGACTGTAATGAAACACAAAACAGAACATTAGTATTTCTCATCTAATACAATTACATGATTTACTACACTGAACCAAACCAGGTGAACACTTCATTCTCAGGCAATACACCAATTATTGCTAAACCTTTGAACTAGTAGAAATAAATACATACCATAAAAACGATAAATATGTAGCTTTTTCTACCATTATTCATACTAACAAATGCAACCAAACAATACTCGTGAGAAAATAATGACAGGGAGCCAACCTTAATATGGCATGTACGTAAATAATCCAATGTACACAATACAAAGCGTTCATGTTGCCTATACTGTTGATTACATAGCCAAAACATAATACACGTGCACAATTCTATTATTATACTGGATGCACATTACACATTCGTCAGGGGTCTGGGTTCAACTCCTGTTCTTGGCAGCCATTATTATTGTCAATACTTGCAATGTACATGTAAATGATCGACCGGAAAAAAGATGAAGAACAACTTTCGGAAGGAAGGTAGTATATTAATACTACAAATAACCTGTACAGAGATACAACAATAAATCACTATACTAACCCGCTTAAAGGTAAACATTCAGCTATAACCTCCCTCAACCCTACGCTTTGACCTTTGCCCCACACAACAAAAACATCCTAAAAAACACCAGCGCCTTATTTGATTGTGTGGTGAAGGTGCCATCTGGCGGAAGAATTCTTATTCATTTAATTTGTCCATCATTGAGTGTACACTTATCTCTAAAATACCAGACTTTCTCATCAAAGATTACAAATGTTCAGTTTTTGTACGTACATGCCTAATTATTAAACACATAACGAAGCATTTACGCAATTCAGATATTGAACGAACTTCCCAAAAATTTATAATCTTTAATTCATTGGCATTTAATTGCACTAAATGTTCAATTCCACATCCTAATAGAGTACTATGATATATCTGTGGAATGATATATTAGGCTGGGGGTTCACAGCCACCGTGTCCTTAGACTATGCCGTATGTTTAACATCACTGTCTCTAAAATCAAGTGTCAGGGCAGTGACCCGACAAAAATACAAACATTGGGGCGCTGACAAGGACCTCCCTGGCTCGACTATAGCCCTATGGCCCTAGTTATATGTGCATTAAAGATAAAATTCTGGCCATATTTTGGATCTGAAATGCTACCAAAGAATAGTGTCGGTTGTTTACTGAATCTAAATTGTTCCAATCAATGACACTGTTGATGACGTCTGCCGCCTGGGCATTTAATTTCTAGGTGGTGATCACCTGATATTAGGTGATGTAAGATACAGGAAGCGTAACTTCTGCTTGGAAAAGAAAAAAATTGGCGGCGTTAAATGTTGCATACCCTTGCCTGCGATATAATTGTTTCATTTATTAAACAGTATACAGCAGATTTTAAGATTAAAAGTAATGCAACGAGGAAACGGAACTAATGTAGCTTTTTAAACTTGTCATGCCAATATAGGTAGTTGCAAAATTCGACATAGTGCTTGTTTTTATGTGTAGTCAGTTTTTTTAGCAACTGTACGGAGACAAGTAGTTGTTTTATATAAATTTTAAGCATTGCGTTCTGTAGGAAATATCTTTTTTCTCACTTCACAAGACTCTTAAGGTCGGTAACTATGCACATGTCTTTTGCTTACAATGGTTATTGGTCCTAACTTCTTTCCTAGTTTTACTAACAGTTATCGATAATGTTTCTGTTATACTTGTAGTCAGAGTTGCATGGTAATTTGGTGGAGGAATTTTCTAAGGAGATTTGAAAAGACTTATAATTGAGGTTGGGGAAGATTGAAATGGGGTCGAAGAAGAGTAACACTTCTACAGCAAGTAAAAGTAAATCTTTACAGACTAATTTAGGACGCAAGAATCATGGGAACTTATCGAACATACGTGGTTGTGGCTCTTCTGGTGAAATGCTAGATCAGTCAGAGTATCTCAGTTTTACCAAAGATCAACTTAAAACAGAACTGAAGAGAAGAGGTTTAAAGGCTTCAGGCAATAAGACAGAACTGGTATGACATTACCTCTCCTTTCAGTTTATTATTTTCAATAAATGTATTCTGTACGTTCTAAGTATAGGTCAGAATTTACAACTCAGTGCATGTGAATAGGTATTTTGTTTTGCAGTAACTTGTATAAATATTGCATGATTTCTGTTTAGTATGCAACATTTTGTGATATTTCATAATGCAAAGCGTAATAGGTGCCAGTACATTTGAAGCTAGATTAATTTATACACCCAAATATTGTACAATTTCTGAAGCAAAATAATGTTCTCATTCAAAGAAAGTTCCAAATGACTTCATTGTTAGATTTTTGTTTTTGTAGTTGTGTATAGAAAATTTCTTAGTTACAGCAGTGTTTTTGGCAACCTTTTTTCACTCATGGCACACCCTAATTTGTCAAAACCACATGATGGAACATCACATAATTTTGCCTGATGAAATGGGGATATGAAACTACACAGTCATAAATATGATACTACATATAAATTCTTGCCCTGTAGAAGTGCAGGCATATGAGAACAAAACAACATATGTTGAATAAAACTGTCAATGACAGACCAGTGTGTTTGCATTAGGGATTCTGTGTACGAAAGATAAGTTACCATCTGTTTCTAACTGCATGTGAGTATAGGGTTTAATTTTTTATAAAAATTCACGCAACATCTGAAACCTTGTTATGGCGCGGCAGTTGCAGAACACTGGTGTACAGTGTCAGTGTCTTGAATTGAATATTTTCATATTGTGAAAAATGTCTTTTAAAACAGTAATTTTCTCTTCAGATTCTTGATGTTTGTTTTAAGTGTCACTTTCACACACACTGTTTAACACTTTCTAAATGTTTAATGAACTACAGTAGATTCCAGTTAATTGGGCCATTGGTTAATCGGGGCAGCCATTTATTTGGGACAAATCTTAAAGAACAAACCTTTTTAACCCTTTACATGGAACTACGCATAATTGGGGCAGCCACTTAATTGGGCCAAAATGTTCTAGTCCTGATGTGTCCCAATTAACTGGAATCCACTGTATATATTTTGGCAGCATGTGACCATCTTCATGTTTGATGTGTGTATGTAGTCATTTTACTCATATTAAAAACCAAGTGACAGTCAAACAAGTATCAAGTATCTGAAGAGTAACACACTGGGATGCTGCATTACAGAATCATAATAAAGGTAAAGTTGTCCCAGTGCCCAGGCATTACTTCATTAAAGCAGATAGGGCTTGGAACAGTTCCAAATATTCTAGACCTTAGCATTTGATAGAAATAAGTGGTCTGCTTCATGCCGTGGGTGCTTTAGAAAAGGCCCCCGTACACATTGAACAGAATATTGGTTGGTTCTCAGATCTGTTCTGCATGTAGTACCAAAGAAAACAATCTCTGTCCCTGCCATAAGTTGAACCCCAGTCATCCATCTAGTAACCAGTCACTTTACTGAAAAATTATCCTGGTTCATGTTATTTACTGAAACAGAAACAAATACATATAGCTTGTGTATAGTATTAATATATTGTACAGAAGTCATTTGAAGAAAATATTCCCACAGGTCAGTATCAACTTTCCTTATGGATATCTATTTGAGAAAATTATGACATGTAAAAGAGTTCTACGAAGCCTTAGATTAATGTACTTTTTGTGGATATGAAACTTCATCTTGTAAAACTTGGATTGACCAAAATATTTGTAAAATGACTATCTCAAATTAAGCCACTGACATTTCTGTTTTCACTATTATCAACAGCAACAAGAATCTGAATGCATTTCACTTTCTTAGTTTGTTTCTGTAGAATGATAGTTGAATGTTATATACATTATTACAATACTTATTGCACTTATTTTTCTTCTTCAAATAAGAGCATTTTGTTTTGCTATTGAAACACTCAGCTTGCTATGCCAGTATTTATCTGTTGTCTTCATCAGTATGTGGACTTTAGTCTTGGCACAGCTGCGGCCCAGTTCCGACCTTAGCATGTAATATTCTTTTAATGACTGTAACTGTCTGTAACAAATATGAATGCACAAGGGGAAAGAAAAAAGGAATATATTGCTATTGCTATTGATTATTTTGAAGACTCCAGTGTTGATGTATGTGTAACACTTGCTTAGATTGAAATGGAACTGTGGTTATAATGCTGTAAAATAGTGTATTTCAATGCAGTAAGAGTAACTGAGTTGCATTTTAGATAATCGTTTATGGAATGATAGTTTAAATAATTGCACATTTAACTTTTTGTGATATTGGGTAATCTGTCACCTATGTGTTTGTGAGTCTTTGTTCTGGTAAGTGCTTTCCTTTTAATGAGCAGTTTAATATTTCATAAGTAATGTGAAATTAGCTACTTCTCCAATGGTTGATTATTTATTTTATATTCTTGTATTAATTCCTTGGGTTCTGTAGCATCAAATGAGATTTTACAGGGAATATAGCCACTCTACAGCTGGAGTTTGAACCTAGTACTTCTCAGATGCAATATGTTAACCACTGTACTATTCCACTATGTGGTCTGTTGCTATGCTAGCTTCATTTTTAGCTTTCGTATGGATAGTGGCACTTGTGAACAGTGCCATATTTTTGGATGTAAAACATATTTGTTGCAGGGAGTAACTACCAATTAAAATTTTGACATCAGACTTATAAACTTATTCACTCCATTTTCATTTTGCATTAAACATTTCCACAAAGCGAATGTGCTTTGGTACTTTGCTCTTTGAACTTATACATACACTCTACAGTCATGGCATACATGGATGGATTTTGCAAGAAAGAGAATTTGAGAGATGTGTTCATTGTGATATGGGAAATAGACAATTTATCACAGCCAGAATTGCCATCTGCCCATTAATATGTTAAATTAATAGTATATGAAGATTCCTGTCATACTGCCTCCGTCATCAGGGCGATGACGGAGGCAGTATGACTTCTGAAACGTTGGCTAACATCAACCAGACTACATAGCGCAACAACCCAGAAGACAGGAATCTTCATACTCACCGCTGTGAAAACCTCAAATCTTACAATGTTACATAATAGTATATGGTTATAAAGACAGTGTATGAATATTTGTGTCACCAAGTACAAGGTATACAGTCAAGTTTTCCATCCATGTATTTTTTTGTGTGCATCATTTGCACGACTAAGACTGGAAATAAGTTCATTGTAGCTTCAGCCATTTCAGGGCTTGTGATTTAAATTTTACAGAGAAATGAAATAGTCCGAGTTAGTTACAGCTTTGTTAAATAAACCACAAATAAAATAAAAAGTGAATTTACAGAAAAAGGCAACATACACTGTGGAAGTGCCTGACTGCAGACTAACATGTTAATAAAAGCTATCAGAACAACCATAATGGGTCCGGAGATAGGGATTAGCTCTATCTAGTGGGCCCAACTGTGTAGGAACCTGAAGACGGAGATAGAGTCCCATCTCCGAAACGTCGTTTTACGTTTTATATTTACTAGATGATGGATAATATCCAAAGAAATTTTTATTCAATTAACCATAATGTAACTCAAAACATTCAGCCTGTAGTACAACTTTGTCTCTTCACATCCAAAAATGAACCAATAGCATTCATATCTAAATAATTGATGACTCTTCTTAGGACATCATACCAGTTGTAATTATATACTGTCATTCCTTTTCAAATCCATTAAATCTTCAAATGTATAAGAATTATGATTTTAATATCCTGTTGTTTTTTCATGGTTCTGGTTTTAGGAAATGAGTTAGCCACACGCATTGCTACTTAAGACCAACCAATAAGTTCTTTATTAACAAAGAAAATAGTTCTCGTGTTTTGTCTTCATCCTTTCTGTATATACTGTTGCTTATTTGCTCACCTCATATTCTACTTTCCACAGGTACAATCAGGCTGCAGGCTGAATGCATGGCTGACTCTAAGGAAAAGTAAAATAGAAAAAGTTGTTCACCTCTTTACCTAAATCTGTAGGGGAACAGAGTACTGTGTGCATATTTATTATTTATTTATGATTTATATAATGACGGGCAAATACTAGGATAGTACCTTAAATTATGACACAGCCTCTTCCTTCTATATACTTTCCAAATCACACATAACTTGATTCACACACATTCCAATAATATCAACCATTTCACATAGAAATGACCAATGCAAACACGTAAATGACAGTGTTTTACTTACCAACTGATACAAAACAGAAATGTTTCTCTAGCTATATAGTGATGACATAAAAGAACTTTGCTTCTATAAAAGAAAGACTAAATCACTAGTTTTGACTATGAAGAAATTAAAACAATTTTCTTGATAATAGGTTTATTGTCTGACCTGCTCATACAGTCCATTTAAATTGAGATTTTCATGTGTTTTAGTTACAGAGATTGGGTTTCAATATGAATATGTCCCGAGTGGCTAATTCTACTGTGAAACGAAAAAGTGATGGAATGACATCATCAGGACATAGAAATGGTAACAGTCTGACATCACAGGCACAAGTTAATACTTCTAGAGTGGCTGAAAAGGCAGAACGTGAAGCCCTTGTTCTCTGGAGACAGCCAATTAAAACTCTAAATTACTTTGTACGAGAACTGTTCTTAGATCTCTACATATATGGAATCAAGTAAGTGTTTTTTAGACACGTATTTTAGATGTGCAAACCCAAATAGTTGTGTGGTGATAACCAGTTTTGAATTGGTTCAAACTAGTTACCAAATCCTTTACAGCTTTTAAAACCCTGAACTGGAACAGAAGTGGAGTGTGAGAATACTCTCTGGACCAGATCTGTATTTAGAATAGTTTAAAACTCCGGTAGTGAGTGAACCATTCTCACATTTAGAGAATTTCTCCTCATTTCAGTTACCATGGGTGTGAAGTGATGATTAAATGCTCAGTAAATAACCTTACAGCTGGTATAGCATTAATAAATAATCTGTTAATAAGTCTGTCAGTCAATTAGTATTGATAAAGCACTGTTCACTTATTCCTTCAAGTGATTTATGGGAGGTTACTTTGAAAAGAGTGGTTTGACCTTAATAACTTGTTGATTCATTGTACAGTCATAGCCTATGGATATGTTCATTTTACCTCCCAAAACTACTACATCTTCTGACAATTTCTCTTGTATTTATTACATGCTGTTCCTTCAATTCTAAAGATTTGTTACACTGGTCTAGTAGCATAAAGGGACTCTGTCCATTGTTAGGTTTGTTGTGATTTAATTTCTGTATCCAGAGTTGTCACAGTGTTAAATTCTGCCCTATCACAGCCCACAGATATTCTGGTAGTTATATCCTTTCAAGTGCAAGGGAACTTGACCACTTGGGTAAGTAATACTCTTAGTTTGAGAAGTTAATTTCATAAAACAAATTATACTTTGAGATTATTTCATATATCTTTACATCTTATGTTTTCAGACTATTCCAGTACCGCTTGGCTCTTGGCATTGTCCTTCTAGTCACCATAGTTTGTTCTGTGTTGGTAAATATAGGTGGACCACATCAACAAGTAAGTGGTACAAAATATGAATTGCAGTGATGAAATAATGGAGTTGTTAGTGCAGTGGCATCCTTCTTTCCCAAGCAATATCTTATTTTTATATCACTGTGGGCATACATGGGCATACAGTGGTATGTTTTAGTAAATTAAGACTTACTTGTTGCAGTACTGGGACTCTGTCTGTAAGCAGACTATGTGGTGCTTGTACTGGTTAGGTTTGGGTGTGTTGTCTTCGGTGGGACTTGGAACTGGTCTGCACACATTTCTGCTCTACCTAGGACCTCACATTGCTACAGTGACATTGGCTGCATATGAGTGTGGCAGTCTTAATTTTCCTGAACCTCCATATCCAGATGAGTGAGTTAAATTTTGGCTCTTTCATCCATCTTTTTTGTATGGATTTCCCTTTAAGGTTGTTTTTCTTGTGATTTATGCATTTAAATTAAATGTATGATGTTAATGTGAAATGGTGGATATAATGCTTTACTTCTTACAGAATAATCTGTCCAGATACAGTAGATCCAACATGGGAAGCAAGCATCTGGAACATCATGTCAAAGGTTAGAATAGAAGCAATGATGTGGGGTGCAGGCACAGCTTTAGGAGAGTTACCTCCATACTTCATGGCAAGAGCATCTAGACTCTCTGGTTATGACCCTGATGATGAAGATGATCTCAAGGAATTTGAGGAACTCCAGCGTAAGAAAAACAACCCCGAATCAATGGTAAATTTCATACATAGCTATAATTATTGTTACAAAAGGAAAAATATGTCCTTTGTCTCATTATAGTAGGCAGGGTTACAGTGATATGAACTTCTGTATTTGCAGACACATTTAGATCGAGTGAAGCTATTTGTGGAAAGACTAGTGGAGAAAGTTGGTTTCTTTGGCATTCTGGCTTGTGCCTCTGTGAGTATAACACATTTAATCATGAATATCTGTAAATTTGCTTTTTTTTTCTGTTATCTGTTTTTAAAAGTTGCATGTCTTGACCATCTCTGGCATCAATCCTCTCCAATCCAGTGGGTACCAGGGTTCTTCTCTTGGGAATAAAGTGGCTGAGGCATGAAGTCATCTGCTCACCTCTGTCTAGTGCTGAGGTTAAGATTGTATGGAGCTTTACCTCCATTCACCTATATGTTTGATGGAGTGATAATTAGTTCAGCCCCCTAGACACCTTTACCTCTACCTTTTTACATACAAATTAAATAATGACTCAGAAAACATAAGAATCAGAATTAAACTGAATGAAAAATATTTCTTTACAAATGTTGATTATTGATGTTATTCCTACTTCGTCTGTTTAATAAGCTGACATCATGGATATGATTATTGAATAAAAAGTACCATTTAAACATTTGAATAAATCATACTTTCACTTCAGTGATGGGTACAAAATCTTTTTCAGATTCCTAACCCACTGTTTGACCTGGCAGGGATCACATGTGGACATTTTCTTGTCCCCTTCTGGACATTCTTTGGTGCAACTCTTATTGGTAAAGCTGTGGTAAAGATGCTTATTCAGAAGATGTTTGTCATCATTGCATTTAATGAAATGCTGGTTGAGAAGGCTGTTGCTACATTAGCATACATTCCAGCTATTGGCCCTAAACTTCAAGAACCATTCAAACACTTCCTTCGCAAGCAAAAAATGAAGCTGCGTAGGAAACCAGGAGAAGAGGTGCCATTGGTATTATTTTTATTGTTGTTGTTGTTGTCATTTTGTATTTTATTTTATTTTTATACATTATGATTCTGTAAAGTTATTAAGAAATCTGTTTCTTTCCTAAGGTCAGTTCAGGATTGTATTTGCAATTACACTGAAAATCCGTTCTTCTTCTGGGGATGAAGAATAAATAGGAAATATTTTATTAGAATTGATTATGCACACTCATCCTAATATTTGGTGATATATAACCTGTGCAGTTGAGATAAGCATCATTAAATATACTAAGAAAGAAATATATTCAATTACTAATATCCTAATATGGTTTTATTTCAGGAAGGAAACATACTATCATCAATTTTTGAGAAGTTTGTGGTAGCAATGATCCTGTATTTTGTGATCTCCATTATCAATTCACTAGCCCAGAGCTACCACAAGAGACTACATAAACAGCCACGTAGTTTAAAGAAGTCATCAGATTGATGAAGCCATGTTTTCTAGTTGCCATATCGAAACGTTAGTGGCTTGGAAGAGAATTTGAAACCACCTGTGTTTAAAAAGCTGGATTTACTGTCCCATAAGTGTGGTTCCTTAAGTAGGATTGCTACATTCAGTTATTATCACTATACAAGTTTTGTAAGCAGATATTTTCATGCAATGTTTGGAGTGGGTTATTTTTTTTTTCAAGTGTGATTTTGCCACTTTTCTTTAGGGATATAGACTCACCAAATTTGTACTTAATTCCTTTGAATTGGGCTTTATTACATTTTTTATGGTATGTAACCATGATTACGAATTGTGCAGGATAATGTTTTTTGTTCAGTAATGTACATTTGAAGACACTGTATTTGCACCCTTCTAAGCAGACTTTCCAATTACAGTGTGTACTAGTACATCATCTCCAGGCTGTGATTTGAATATTATGTAAATTTTCTCTCCTGAGTGTTGTTTTCATATTGCTTACCAAGAGCAGAATAGTTTTAATATTAAGAGAACAGATGCATAATATACATGCCTTATCCTCATATTACTACACAAAATTTATCCATAAAATATATGTATCTTACATCCAAATCATCTTTGATTAATATTAAATTTAATATTTATGCATAGTACCTACATTAATAGTCTTTCTCCATCATGCATTTCAGAATTGTGTTGTTTTTTAGGGTTAGCATTTATAATTGTGTATACATTCCCATTTAATTGTCTTTGTAGAATATTTCAAGTTCAATATCATTGTAACATGAAGAGGTATGTAGAAAATTGATTTCAGCACAGGAATTTAATTTCGTACTTCCTGTTTTTGTATATGGTCAGGTTCCCCCCTTTCTGTTTTATAGAAGTTCTTCGTAAATTTTGCTGTTATGGGTCACAACCAATCTTGTAAGGGAGCCCAGTCTGTTTCAGTGCATTTACTCATATGTCCATAAACCTGAGTGCCCTCTTTTGTAAAACCAAAGAGTGTGAGATTTGGGGTTCTCATGGTGGTGAAGATGTCAGTGTTGATTTGCTAGGTTGTGATGTCACATGGACTTGTAGGTAGATACTGTTTAACACACTGTCTCTATCGTCAAGGCTCTATCATCTGCTCTGAAAATGCAGGCAGTATGTAAATAATGTTTTACAGGAATATACTCCCTCCATCTTCAGGGTTGAAGATGGCAAAATTTTATTCCTAAGAAGTGTTGGTGTCTGCATAAAATCCATAGAAATGATGTTACAACCTGGAAGACCAACATCAACACTAAACAGTTTGATTAATATAGAACCACACGCACACAATAAGTGTTCTAGGGTGGGGAAGACACATTTAATTTTCAAGATTATGCAAGTAATTTTACTGATGTGGGCTGGCTGAGTCAATCTCGTGACCATAGTTTGATTCCTGGTATGGGTATTTTCCATCGCATCCATACTGTCTCTGGGGTCCACCCAGCCTGTTCAGTGGGTACCAGGGATGAAATGTCCAGGACACAATGCTGACCACTTGCTTCCATCTAGTGCCAAGGTTAAGAATGTGTGGAGCTATATTTCCACTCCCTGTCTTCGTAGCATGGTGTTTAACTAAGTGCTGAGACAACTTGACCTTTCTGTATTAACTCTTACACATTTGAGACCATAGCAAATGAAACAATTAGATTTTCATATTCTCATTACTAGGTATGGTAGCTAATTGTTATACAATGTACTGGCCTACATTTATAATAAGATATCATAAACACTAAATTTTAATTTAGGTACAGTATTATTCATATGCTCCTGGTAATGGTTCTTTGATGTAAAATGGTTTTAAAAATGTTGATATTAGGTGAAATAATTTTTATTCAATGTCTGGTTAGAAGGGACATTTACAGTTAAAATTTGCTGCACTTTCTTACCATTTTATAACTAAGTAACAGATATGTTGGACTAGACTTGGTACAGTTTGCTAGTTTCTCATTTGATATCTTATTTATTCATGTTTCCATCTTCAGCATATAATTTGATGGTGTTGAGAGATTCCAGTAGAATTTGAAGATGAGTTTTGTAAATATGTTTACACTCTTGGTCACCATATTCATGTTTCTCACTGCAATTTCTTGTGAAATATAGTGTGAAATGTGTTTCTGAATATGTGTTGTTGTTTAAAAAATACTGATTAGAATGCAGAATAGTATAAATTTGGTAAGAAAATGCAGTATGTAGTCATTTTTTATTCTGGTGCTAAACCTTCAAGATATTTTGTAAAACCTTTAAAAAATATATCAGATCAGTACATTGATGCTGTTGCATTATGAAGCACTCAGAAGCCCTCACATCTTGTTCTCAGGGAACAGCATTTTCGATTCATTTGTTTTTTCACAAGTATGAAGCTGGAAATCTTAGAAGTACAACTACACAAACTGGAAATTGCCTATGAAGGGAAATAAATTATAGAAGGAAGTGTCACAAGTAATGTGCAATTGCTGAGCTCACATGTACATTTATTATGAAACAATGACAAATGGTTAATTATTTTAAAAACACACCCATGGAATTGTTTGTAGCACGACATTTTTCGTATGTCCTACAAGTGACTCTACCCATTCCCATTTTAATTCCATTTTTTTATAATAAAACTTTCAAATAAGTAGTTCAGTCCCTGTAAGAAGTGGAATTTATTTTATTTTGTTTTGCCCTGTAGGAATGATATATTAGATATGTATTATGTGAACAAATGAGTGCCCTTGAAGAATGATGTATTTATGAACATTTATGTATGCCACAATGATAAAAGGGTGCCTTTATTTTCAACTGTATGTGTTGTGCTTGTGTGATGTTTATTTCCTGTTCCTGCTTCCTAGTACCAGTTGTTCCACAGTGTTTGCTGTCATAGATTTTCCCATTCCATTGATGAAATATATTTTTTTTAACAGTTTGAGCTGTGAGATAGTGTAGCACACAATATTTGGAACTGCTACTTGTTGGTCTTGACATACAGAAATACTGTGTTTCAAAAAAGGCGCTATGTTAATTTATAACTGGTGACACAACCCTTCAGTGCTGTGCTAAGGAAACTGCTTTGTTGCAATATAGATTAAATTAAACAAGTAAACATATTTTGGAATAAATGGGGAAATAGTTTCATCCTTCTACACACACTCACCCTGCAGGACAGTATCATCAAATGTTTTATAAACATGGTAATTGTATATCATGACCACAGGGGCACTGGATAATCCTTGTTTCCCTTGTAAAAAACAGTGCAGTATCAACCAGTGTCCAGTTTCCAAATGTTCATGCAGATATCCTTTTACCCAGGATTGTATTTTATAATACTGTGCAATGAATATTGCAGAAACTGGGAAATGATGATATGCTTCTTGATTTAAGTGAAGTTCCTTTTAAATTTTAAGAATTCAATTATTATCAGCTAGAGTTAGTGTGATTTGTGAAATGCCCTGAAATGTTTTTAAACTTAATAGTCCTTACAGGCTGAAAAGATTGAAATTAAGACTATAAAAATGTATTTTATCCAGCCAGAATTCTTGTGAAAAATTTCCACTTATACTTTTATCACACATCTAATAAGACAATAGTGTTAATTCATTTTAAATTAATAAAATGTATGCAACTTTGTAGTTTTCATTGTATTGTTCTTAATGACATGCAGAATTTAAAGATGCATGAAGGTGAACAAACTGTTTCAGTTGTTAGGCCTAAATGGAACTCTTAAAATAAAAATAGTTAAGTGTTGGCAATAGATTTTCCTTGGAACCACTTCAGTTATTATATCTTCAGTTCACAAACGTTTTAATTACACTGAATGAAACCAAGACATCTTCACAATATATGTGCAACTATAGACCTTTATTTCATATGAAGGACTGAAAATGGACTCTTCAGAAGTAGAATTTGTTGGAGAAATCAGTTCATAAATGTGTCATATTGATTTGACAGTTTGATAAGCCCTGTGCTAGTGTTAAGCATGTGTCAAACTATATATTAGACTTTAATGAGATATAAGATGATGTCTTGTGGCAAAACATTTTACAAAATACATTTAATTATGGAGCTTGCAATTGTTTTGGAAAGATATATAAGTTCGAGTGAAATGCATTTTGTATAGGTGTTAAGGACTGAACTGGAAATATCTGAACCTACAATATGGATAACTGTAGTTTTGGGCTTGGACCTACCTAGGGATTTGAGTGTATCTTAACATCAGACAAAGCACAAAATACCAAATAGACAGATTATAACTTCATTAGCTGTCTGTTTTATCCCAGCAATGGCTCGACTGGTTTATAAACAGTCTGCTGGCTCTGAGGCACTGGCATGTTTAAATTGGACATACCCAGAGTCCTGTGAAGCTTGTATATTTGAACTCTATTGTGTCTCTTTGTATTCAGCCCTTTGATGAGGTCATATATATATAAAAATAAATTCGGTGTCAGGGTACTGGATGGAAGTACCCATATGTTTCTCCACTTTCCAAGTCCACAACAAATCTTTGCTTTGCTGAGTATTGTAATATTTTCACATTTCTGTGGGACTGATTACATTAAGTGAGTAATCAGTTTGTTTGTCTATGTAAACCCTCAGTTATATTTCTTTTGTGTGACATGAAAATTATGACGGACTGTAAACCAAGCAAGTGAACAAACATTGCTTGCAGACAGTGGGCTGTACAACTGCATAAAAGATAGATGAAACAGCATTCTGATCCCTCATACTCTGTTGGTAGCAACACTTGTGTTGAGTCTGAATCTGAACCAGTTGCAAGAACTTGTCAATACAACTTAATGAAAGAAGCAGATGATTGAAATTAATTTCTGTGGAAAAACATGAACACAGGTGGCATATGTGATAATTTTACTGTGTAAGGAAAGAGTCACTCTGGCAATGCATCTAGATCATTTAAGTGTCACCCATCAAAGGGTCAACACAATAGTAAAATTATTGTGTATCTTCCTATGTTTCTGCTAACTTCTGTTTCCATTGAACACAAGGTTATCTCCCAAAAGTGTGTGCCCTTGTTCATCAACTTTCATCACCACTCCACTTGAATAATGAAACCTGTCATGTCTGATAGTATCATGAGATTTGGTAGCAGTTAATATTAACTCGCTGGCTGGTATGGTTATGTATGTAGCCAGAGCATAAGTTTTACCCTGAAAGCTAATCATTTAATAGTTTCTTCAGTCAATTAAAGTTTATTACAAGAGTAAGCAGGAGGTTGACTTATTTTCTTGTTGTAAAGAGCAGTTCAGTGGGTATAAAAAAGCTCCTTTTGTATGTGCAGCCATGAATAATTTATGACAACCTGCTGCCAGATAATCAAGAGCTTGCTCTTCTGAAAACAGGTTGAAGGCCTCAGCCCTTTTGTCCTCAAACTTTCAGTCTTGAAGACATATATCAGAAGACGTGTATCTGATTTAGAATCGTCATACTTGGACAAGATCTTATATAATGTTATAAAGCTTTGCCAAAATTATCTGAATATATATTTTGAAGAAGACATTTTCTTATGTACTGTAGACTAGGCAAATCATCAAAATGAAATAAGTTAAACAATATATTCAGTGTGTTGCACTTTGGCATTAATTATTTGCACTCATGAAGACAGTTTATAAAATGAACTAAACTGCACATTGATGTATCAAGCTTACATTTTGAAAATGTAGAGTATGTATTTATCTGAAATATGCTCATTTATTTATAATTTGAAATGAGATTTCTCTGTGTGTAATATCTGTGAAGACACCAACATGAGGGAAAATTCGATGTAGCTTAAATTTTGAATAAGATTTGTGTGTTTTTATTACCCAAAATGTTAGAATGTTTGTTTTATACCTTTGCTAAAGTAGCTGTGCTACTTATAATAAACTCAATAAATAAACTGTTATTGTTTTAGTATACATGGTATCAAATTATTTTATTTCATCACATTTATTTCTGGGAGAACATTTTCTATTTCCATACTTAGTGCATATCCGAGAACCTATCAACCCCTATGAAATAGAAAAGATGATAGTAATACAGGCTAGCCAAGAAAACAATAAGAAAAGGATTATGGTAAATACAGTACTTGGTTGTACACACATTTTTATGGTTGCTAGAACTGTATTTATCATGATTTAGATGCTGAAAACAATCAAAACCTTCCGTTTCCACTGATGATTAATTCTATTTTAATTAAAAAATACGAACAATGAATGTTTGGATTTCTTGGAAATAAGAGTGCTGTTTACACAAAACTCTTATTTATGTTGCACACTGTTATTCTTGCCCTCTCATGCTGTGAAAAACATTTGTAAACATACAATATTTTATTCATACCTACCAATATTTTTCTGTTTTTAGTTTACATAATGTATTTTTACATTAAGTGGATACTGCTTTAAAGGCAAACTGAAATATACACACAAAGCAGGGGCACACAGTGACCAGGTGCCATTCTATATTACTTAGTCTACATCTTACATTTTCATCGGTACAGATGATCAGCATGGATGTTGGATGCTATTTCAGATTCCCATTTGTCACCATTATCTAATAGCTTCTCTTTGTTATACAGCAATTCTTCATGGGTTTCTGTTGAAAACTCAAAATTGGGACCCTGAAAATAAAGTACATTCATAAATAAAATAATTTTATATACTGAATTATTTGCATATGTTAAGGGACTCACAATTCATGCACTTCAAAGCACTTTAATAAGTATACTTACTTCTACAATAGCATCAACTGGACAAGCTTCTTGGCAAAAACCACAATATATACATTTAGTCATGTCAATATCATAACGAGTTGTTCGTCTACTTCCGTCAGCTCTCTCTTCAGCTTCTATGGTGATGGCCTGATATAACATTGAAAATTCTCTAATACAGCTTTCTTACAAGTATTAGCTTATAACAACATAGAAAGTATAATTCATCCTTCATTTACAAGCATATAAATACATTTAATTTGTTCTCATTCTTATCACAGTCAAAATATTGCAAATTAATCCAGTTATTTATGTTTTTTTATGAGTTAGAACATTCTATTTCATACCTGTGCTGGACATATGGCCTCACAAAGCTTGCAGGCAATACACCGTTCCTCTCCTGATGGATATCTCCTCAATGCGTGTTCACCTCGGAAGCGAGGACTCAGAGGACCTTTCTCAAAAGGATAATTGATTGTAGCAGGTTCTTTGAAGATGTGCCCCAAAGTTACTCCTAATCCTATAAGAAACAGAATTATTGTAGTCGGCTTCATTTCCAACAGTTTAATTCTCATTTTCAGACCAAAAATATGTGCACTTCACAAGATGCAATCTCTCTTCTCCTTTGGCTACATCACCTGTGTTTCACATCACTGTCCATACAAGAGATTTCAGGGCAGAGCGCCCCAACACGCAAAAAAGGTCTGGGACGATTCCGTGGCTTGAGTACGGCCCTGCTTACCTCTGAAAATCTCTGTCCAGAACATGGTCTGTGCAGCTCTATCAGTAATCTCCTTCATATTCAAGGTGCGTTCTTCGGCATTCACATATTTATATGAATTTCGTGTATGGCACACAATGGTGAACCGCGGCAACGGCCTCAAAATCTGTGGAGCTACAAACGAAATTAGGCGTATAAAACGTAAGACATTCATACAGAATTAGTACATTAACGGGAGCGTATCGCTTCACGTAATAGAAATACCTGGCTAATATGCCAAAGCAATTTAGAAATACTAAAGAACATCAAATTCAATGATCAGTAATAATTACAGATATATGATTAGAAAATTGTTCTCAGAAATAAACAAAATATCATTATTTATAACACTACCTTTGTTTAAAGAATATAATTTTAAAGCTGCCATGTTGAACAGTTTGCATATAGCCAATATCACTAAATTTATCTACATGGGAAAATTCAGATATCAGAGTTTTACAGACTGTGATTTGTAGCTGTAACTGTGGTAATTGCTATGTTGGTTAACGTTGTTTGTGAACAATGTTGCCAATAGATCCAATATAACCAAGAAACACCAGAAAATATTTTATCTATGGGAAGGAACAGATGGCATGGTAATGATTGCGTGTTTATTCGATTATAATATTTCAAGTATAAACTGTTTGGAATGGCCACAGACGAAATAGAATACAATGCATATTATCATACTTTACAGGTATTATATTTATCTTATGTGTGAAATAAAAACCCAAGCCTCTTGCGATATCAAGAACATTGAGTAATAGTGTCGAAATTATGTTTTGCAGAACGAATTTAGAAGAAAATATGAACAAGCCATATCTAAATGTTGGACAATTTGTGTTCCTTGCACCAGGGCATTAAGAGGGCTTGACATTACAGAGGATTTTGTAGGTATGTGATCCACGTATAACTTTGGTTTAGTAGGTGTTCATGTCTGTTGCATTAGAGTTGGTGCTGAAGGTTTGTTTAAATGGTTGTTAAAACAATGCATAGAGATAACCTGGAAGATAAGTTTGGAAAGATTCATATGAAAAGCTGGTATTCATACAGGTTAATTTTTTCTGTGCACCAGATGCAGGTGATCTGTATCTAGTGCTGAAGTTAATAGTACAGGGAGTTAACCTTCACTTTGCCAAATATCTTCATGTCAGGCCCAAGCCAAGCATGTAGAATATGTAATAGCACAAATACCAGTACAATACTTATTTCTGCTACAATTATACATTACATAGTTATGACAGAAATGTACAGTCAGGTACAGCATTACTGCCAAAATACTTACACAAGCATAACCACTATTACTTACATGCATTTACAATAGCTGAAAAATTCTGGTTGAGGTAAATTCTTCAATGGAGTAGAAGGAGTGAGATAGGAGATTCTAATTTAGAGGTGGCTTGAACTTCTTTATATTGTGATTCAGACTTTTTGTAGTGGGGGAAGAGTATTTGAGTAACTTAATTCCAGTAAACTTCTCTTGGATATTTATTGAGTTTAGTGTTTGGCACATGCAGGTTGTATCTGTATCTTGTACTTATGTTGTGGATAACTTAGTTTGTTTGAAAATTTTCAATGTTGTCCACTACAAGTGATAATAAGGAGAGCAGGAATTCACTGGCTAGAGGAAGAATATTAAATTTCTTAAGCAGTTCCCTACATGAGGCTCTCCTTTTAGTGCCTGCCATTAGTCTAATAATTTTTTGCTGTGTGTTAACTTTCTCCAGAAAGTGATTCCATATGGCATGATCGAATGGAAGTAAGTAAAGACTATTTTTAAAGTTTGTTTTCATGATTGATGTGACAATCCTCATAGCAAGGTATGCTGAGCTTAGTTTAGGGATAATTTATTGAATATGTGTTTTCTAATTTAAATTATTTTTACATAAATTATTTTTAGTTTGTAGGCCAATAAATTTAGTTGTTTCTACGTGCTCAATTGTTTTAACTACATACCATATACCTAGATTAATACAATTTTTGTTGGTAGTACAGAATATTATGAAATTTGTTTTATAAAAGTTTAATGTGTATTTATTGGCTTTAATCAGTTTCATCCAGCTAGCAAAGATGCCATTCATGCAGATTTTGAAACAGTCAATTTCTGGATAGCTCAGTCAGTATAGTGACTAGCTACGGGCTGGACGACTGGGGTTCGATCCCCGACGGGGGCAGAGGATTTTTCCTCTAGCCTCTGCGTCCAGACTGGCTCTGGGGCCCACCCAGCCTCCTCTAAAATGGGTACCGGGGTCCTTTCCCGGGGGGAAAGCCGGCCAGGGCGTGATGCTTACCACTCACCCCATCTAGTGCCGAGGTCAAGAAAGAGAGGAGCTATACCTCCACTCACCCCAAGCGCCTACATGGCGTATAGTGGCTCAGCTTTACTTTTTTTTTTTTTTTATAATAATATTAGTATGATCCAAAAATGTATGGGTTTAGACTTGAGAGTTAATGGTTCTTAGTAAATTATTGATATATATGATGATAAGCAGATAACCAAGTTCCATTAATTATTTTTTGTGTTAATCATGTTTAGTGATGTTGGCAAAAATTAAGCCTTCAGAATAATGAAAAAATAGAGTATTGAATTACATGTGTTAATCTATAATATTTCTTCCAGACCTCCATATTCTCAAACCGTCAGTTTCATTTCCAAGGTATGTTTTACTTTTTTGGCGTGTATTTATTGCTTGATGTTTCTTGCTCTCCAACGTATGCGTATTAATCTTTGCAATTAAATCTGGTTTCTGAATTATGATTATTTTCAGTCATTATGATAGCACAGATAAGGATAGCAGCCATAGCTTTGAGTTAGATGGTACTTCCCTCATACTACATGAAGCTCCAATTGACGTTACAGAAAAATATGTGGTGAAAATATTGTCTGTTGAAACTGGATATAACAAGGTAATAAATACAAATTAAATCTAGTTGAATCTGTGAAAATAACTGAAACATCACACAAAATAACTCTAGATCTTTCAGTTTACTAGTTCTCATAGTTTAAATACTGTTTTTGAGATGTCGGCAATATTCGTAAAACAACCCTGCTTTCATGGTGTAGAGTTACATCAAGGTCACGAGGTTGGTGACTGAGCCTTGGCATAAGGGTAGGTAAAGAGTTGTTTTCTTCCCAGAGTTACAGTGAAACAAACAAACTGAAACTTTTCTTCTTCTCCAGGAGTATCAGCAGTATAAGATTTTGATTACAGAAAAACCACTGAGTCCAAAGTATCAACCAGAACCAGGTGAAGACAATGATGTACACCTAAGAAAAATAAATTCACTGACAGAGTAAGCATGAATCATACTAAATGAACAAATATTGTCTGTATCATATTACATGGAAATACTGATCTAAATGTTCCAAGTTTAACAATACTTGGTTGAGTGGTTCAAGTTCGAACCACACCACTTCTGATCCAGCAGATCCCAAAAAAGAATGTGCAGTTGAGAATGTGTCATTAACAGTGGTGGAACCTCTCTATTTTTATCATGATAATGGGATAGATTTATACATTTGACTATGGTTTTATTTTTCCTTCACAGCGCTATTGGATTCCTTGCTCAGGTTCCAGCTCATGTGGAGATACTGAATAAACTAGGACCAGAATTACAGCAACTCTGTTCTGCATTGCTGTCTGACTCTTTACTGGCTGTAAGGGAGAGAGTACATGATACAATGAACTGCTACTGGGTGACTCTCCTCAAGACACATACACTGGATAGACAAAGGGATGCCCATTTCCAAAATTTGCTCAGTATTTCCATTGAGAAGTGAGTTAATTTTAATTCCAAAACTTATTCAGTTTCTCAGTATCTGTTTATGTGTACTTTGCACACTTTGCATAAACTTAATGTAAAATGATGGCATTGTGTCTAACCATCTATCATTGTGCATGTTTCTTCTCTATTCTGAATTTAGATTAAATTTGGCATTGGGGGTACACACTAAATATTTTAAGCAAATTTATTTTTAATGCTTACTGGTCAGTAATATCTGATACTTTACTTAAAGATCAAATAATACTTCTCAGAATAGTCTCATATGAGTTGAGTATATGATTTAAAATACAGGCCACATTATAACTTGTATCTAAAATATTTTTCTTTATGGTAAATGTTCAGCAAAATTAGAAAACATGCCTGACTGTAGTGTGGTTATCTTTGTAATATTAGATATATGTATGTATATAGTAAACAAACATCATAGCCAGTGAATTATGCAAAATCACATTTGAATACTTCTTCCCATTATTGCTTTAAAAGGTGTCTAACAACTTGTAAAGAGAGTGACAGATTTTCATGAAACTTGGTATGAAAGTTGTGCCATTGAAAGGCAGTGTGGGCAAAATATTGCATCCTGAAAATATAGTAATAGCTATATTAGAAATATGGCTGTTTTAAAGCTAGTTCTTTATGAAATGTAAAGTAAAATTGTAGGCTGTGTATATGTTCTGTTCTATAAACAACAAAATAAAAGTGAATAAACACTTGAACTTTGGTAAGACTGGAGATAGTATGAGAGATAATTTAGTATTATTTTTATGTGCATGTAACTTGATCATGTCTTTTGATAGTCGTATCATATTTATTACCTTATTTTATCCTGTACCTCTTTAAAATTATTTTCTTTCTCTAAAGATCAACTAGATGCCAGGTTAGAGGTGAAGCCTGACTAATGCTGAGGTTGTCCTATCATGCTGGCTAGTCCGTAGTGTTGTACGTCTCAGGGTTAATGATACATGAATGTAGAGCACTGATAGATTAGCAGGAGGGGAACATAGGAAATACAATTTGTCTTACATGGTTTGTGAAAGGCCAGTATTTTACTGCTTGGGCAATGGCTGGCCTCTTTATATATATCTTATCATTGTTTGCATATGCTTGTCATAGATTTGATTTGTGATGTATAACCAGTTACATATGATATTTTTAATTTCTGTTTACTATAGTTACATTATGAGCCACTTGCATGACTCTGTCTTCCAAATGGCATGCAGCAAACACCATGAAGATGATGCACAAATACTTCAGCTAGTGAAGGAGCTGGCTTCTGTAGGTGTTACTGCAGATCAGCTGGGAGCACCAGAGGACTTTGCTATTCCATTACCAGCAGCGGTATGATGTTGATGGGAGTGGTGCAGGGAAGAGAGAGATTAGGATCTTGTACTCAGATGTGAAAGAGAGTTACCTAAGCTTCACACCGTGATTATACACAAATGGCATGGCAATAAGGATGCATCGTTAACTGCTGCTCTAGATAGATACGAGTGACCAGCTTCAATCTGTGACTGATTACTTTCTTGGAAAATAGCCCCTGATATCCAGTGGATAGGCTGAGCTGGACCCAGAATCTGGCTGGACATGGTGACAAAGAAGAAAATTCGTTCTCGCTGACGTGAATCAAAGCTTGTCCATGTAGTCCTTAACCAGTCACCTTACTAAGTGAGCTGAAATATATGGTGGGGAAAGAAAAGAAAAGACCAAACAAACCTGCCCTTGCTTGGATTCAAATCCCAGTCTTCCAGCCTATAGCCAGATGTCACTGACTGAGCTATTCTTATGCATAAAAATATCTTCTAATTAAGTGTACATAACTATGTGTTAGTCTGGTTTTGGCTTGCTTCTGGTAATCCTAAAATCTCAACAGAAAATTTGTGAAATTAACACTTTTTGGGCAGACAATGGAGAGCATGCATACAATTGCCAGTGTTGATAGTCATTCTTGTTATTGTATCAAGTAGACTTGAAACACTGCCATTAAATTAATTACTTTTGTGATACTGGTCTTTTTTTCTGTATATGTTATTGGTACAAGAAAAGAGTTTTATTTATTTGCAGGTGGTTGAACTGGCATCCCTCGATAGCTTAAATTGCCCAATAGATAAACTAACTTGCCTTCGAACCACCCTTGATCTAATCCTTGCCGAGTTGAAAGGAGCCATAGTAGATGCTCACAGTGTACTTTCAAGTGAGTATTGTTTAAATTATTTTGCTTTCTTCTGGAAGGCAGTAAAAATCACTTGCAATTCCTTTTCTTTATAAAGAGCTGATATGTGTTGATGTCACTTGCAGAAGATAGTCGGTTGCCAACACTAACGACAGATGATTTGATTCCCCTTTTGGTAACAGTCATCATACAAGCAAAACCTCTGCATATGGCATCCAATTTGTATTATATGGAGAATTTTCAGTGGACCTTATCACCTAATGATGCCATCAGGTAATACCATTGGGGTGAATATAAGTATCATCAAAAGCCTTCTCGTTCTTCTTCTTCATTAAATGATCTCATATTTATGACTTTCCCTTACTCACGTAGATCTTCCATCACTTGGGCTGTCTAATCCTTCATCTACTAGGCTTGTATGCCTCATAAAATTACGCAGTATCAACAACTCGTCCTCTCAAGTGGTAGATTTTGTTGTGGACTGGCCACTGTGCTGATAACAGTATTGTCTGATGAATCTTAGGGGATGATTTTCTGGATTGGGAGCTTGGGAATGTTGGCTTTGGATTGACTTTTTAATTGTATGTCAGTTAAGACTTCCTTTTGGGGAACAGTTATCCTGCACATTATTACCTGATTGTGCTTTCTTTAAATGAGTGAAATTTGTTCAAAATCAATTAAACATTTTTAATTCTGTTTCTAAATCCTGTTGGCATAGGCTGTGCAAGAATTGTTAATCTTTTTTTAAGAAAGATTGAACAATGATTAACAAGTGATACTATGTACTGCTGAAGTGCCAAGACATACAATAGAAGATAGTCTATAAGCTTTGGTCAGATATGACAGGACCTGGCTCATCAATTCAGTCAGCTCATTCGTAGATAGAGAGTGAAGCATTTTATGGTTTTGTATTTCAGTCTTCATGTAAAGGATCAGAGTCTTAAAGCTTTTAGATTTTAATTGTAGAACACTGTTTGGTGTTGTTGAACAGTATTATTTGTATTGTGAAATATGTTGCAGTTTCAGTCTTGTAACATTTAAAGCAGCGATTCAAGAATTATTGACCCTGAAACCTAAAGAACTGAGACCTCGCAGTGAGAAGGTACATCGAGAATTATGTCTAGAGGACCTTATAAAGGTGAATGAAAATCTTAAGGATCTCTTTCTTTGTGAGATGTGATATGGACATATAATCACCTTTATTTCTTCACATGCCTGATTACTATATTATGAGCATTATGGAAGAAATATTTTATATTTGTAAAGGTCTTTATAAGTATTCTTGTACTCCTGGCCACTATTTTAATATGGGGAAGGTGTGGGAGCCAATCACAAGTTCTGTGTTTCCTGTTTCTTCTGTACCATTCCATAATTTTTATTGTTAAATGTTTGTGTGTACTTGTGCAGATCTTCAAAAGGAGTATTTGAAGGAAAATAAGAGAAACTTTTATTAATTGTGTTTGTATAGAATGTTAACAGTTTGCCTTAGAGTAGGCTTTCCAGTTAACAGTTTACTTTTGTCATATGTTATTCAGGTTTAAGCTTTATCATATGGGAATAGGGGATTTAAACTCCTGTATTATGGGGCTGCTGGCTGGACTTCAACTCTAGCATTAATGATTTAGCAGTATGCTGGTACAGCCTGAAGCCAGCTGGATCGTTCTTAAGACTTCGTGCTTTGTTGATGAAGGTCAAAAGAGCAAAATTGCTTTATGAAAAGTACACGTGTTTATAGAAGTGCAAGTAACGGTCTAACATCTTACAAAATGTGAATGTATGATGATGAAAGTGAAGCTGTGGATATTCTTTATGATAGGTAACAGTTGAAGTAGGACAGAGATTTGAAAGAAGTGGTGAAAGACGAGAGGAGATTCCCATCTCTCCATTGGATCGTCAAATGGAAAGGATAACTGCGATGATAGAAGCTTCCACACAGGAACTGAATGATGAAATGCTGAACACAAGTGGAAATACAGATGAAAACAAACATGTACCTGGATAAGTTACAGATTGGGCAACTGTAAGTAATTTAATTCTGCAAGTATAGTCTGTGAGAAAAGAGTATGTGCTTACCAGCTGAAGATATACAACCATGTTTGTTTGCTTCCGAGTAAAGATTTGAAAATGTAAATTTTACTAGATATCACAGATTTTTGGAACAAGCCACTCCTGTGTGTTACCATGTAAAGATTTATGAATAATCAAGCCTTAGCAATTTCATTGAGCAATATATATTATTTTTATACATATCAAACAAGTTAGTTGTAAAATCTGTCTTAGGGAACTAACTATATCATATAATATGGATTATATAGACCTCTTATGGAACTATCAAATGGTGTGCATATGGTTTATGAATGTGGAACCATAAGTAATGAGAGTTGCCTAAAATCTGACGATGACTGATATAAAGAAAATGTTCTCTTTTGTTATTAAATGTCTAGGGTGTATTACAGCATCCACCATATTGTTTATTTTATCTGTTAAATTAATTTTTTGTAGTCAGTTATAATAAAAATAATTTTGTACACATATAGTAATTTTCAAACCATTCAGCTGTAATAGGAAATGTTAACATAGCCCTTACATTAATTTTCCATATACATCAACACTGTTTACAAAGGTGCTCTGTAAACATTTTTTTCTATTTAAGAACATAAACCCTTTTTACATACTTTGTACAGAATAAGAACACTAAACTACAAAGAGCTTCAATTAATTCATTATAAGTTTGTTGTATTTTTGTCATTCCCTATTTTTACAATGATGCATCATTTGAGGAATATTGGCTGTATAGTTTACTGCACTTCTGTGATTTTTTAAAGAAGAAACCATGCTACCATGACCAGTCACCAATTTGCAGCTGTGATTTATCAATGTACATCCATCCTCAAGTTTTATGAAGTTTACAGAAGACTTTATTAGGGTCCACATTTAATAAAATTATAAGTAGACAACTGAATTATACAAAAACTTCTTTCCGAGAGGAATTTCCTTGGATATACTATTATTTTCAGTTTTGTACTATATAATTGAAAAAATAAATATGCACTCTTCTGTGACATTTACTTTGAATTAAATTCTTTTATTACCTTAAATCAATGTTGCTCCAAAGAAGATATAATTTTAATAAAACTCTTGATGTAGAATTTGACCAAAATATCTACTCAGCCGTTTGTAACTGTTATGTACAGACAGACAAGGTGAAGTCAATAGGTTTTCTTTAAGCTTTGTTCTGAATGTGTCTAAGATATGTGTTTAATTATTTTACAGCCATGCCACAGAGTTCTATATCTCATAGGACAGCTGCCTGTTGCTCTGACTGAACTTTCCCACACCTCTGTGAAGACACAGATCAGGCAGATAATTGCAACAGTAAATTTCACCATCTATTCCTTGTTTCCTGGAGTTTTCTTCAGCTCTCAGTCATTACCTCTGAGTGATGTTTCCATTGTATCACCCATCAGCAAAGAGAAAGATCATACATGACAAGTAATTATCATGATTAAGGAATATCTCCACATAGTATAAACCAAAATAAAGCATCAGTTTCTTTACAGTGAACACTGTGTCCAGACGAGTACTTGGACAACAGAAGTAATAAGTTTTCTTTCCATTCTCAGCTTGCAGACTTAGTAGCTTTCCTAGCAAAGTACCTTTCAAGAGCTGCTTCAAATACAGGGCCTGCCGTTCGCTTCTCCCAAATGGAACATTTGGGAGGCTCTGGCATAGCAATACAATTTTCTTTATCTGCTTCTTTATCACCACTAATCCTTTTATCTTTTTCTTTCTCTTTTCCTCCTGATTCATCACTCTGAAGCTTCTTACTATCATTACATGCACTTACTTTTATTAATTCTGAACTGTCCTCATTTTTTGAATGTGTTTTAGCATCATTTGCTTCCTTGATTTCTCCTTCTTCTGAACCTGATGTAAAAACTTCAGACTTACTTTTTTTCTCTACTGCATTTATCTTCACACGTTTCTTCATATCTTTTTCATTGTCACTGCCATCACTATCAGAGTTGTGTCCAGTAAAATCTGAATCTGCATCAACATTTGTTTTTAATTCTGAGATTTTGTTTTCATCTTTTTCTGATTCTGATGAGGAATTCTTTCGCTTGCGATACTGTCTTGCTATTTTTCTCTCATTCTGCCCCTTGTTTTCTGATTTTGATGTTCCAACAGTGTCTGAAGTGTCTTTTACTGCAGATTTATTTTTGTCCACTTCATCTTGTTTCATTGTTATGCTATCCTTACAATCTTCCTCTCCCACTACCTGTTTATATAAGTGATGGTAGAATCCAGACAGGTCTTTCTGCTTGGGTACCAAAGCTGAAACAAAAAGATTGAAAAAGAAAATGGTTAAAGTAATTACTTTTTTGTTTATGTTTGTTATATGTGTATTACTTACTCTATATATTCCTTTCATTATTTCACACCCCAGTAATAATCTTAATTGTTCAATATAATTTTCTTTTGATTGCATCATTTGTGTCAGAGTTAGGAAGCTTTAATTTTCTGGATTTTATACTCTAAATTGTTCCTGTTGCACTGGTGTTTGTAAATGTTTTATCCCTAATTAATATCTGAGCATAATGCCACTGTTCTTACAAAGTACCAGTCACATCCTATACCACATTTATTTGAACACAGTACACACTTGAATAAGACACGCACCTCATTTTGGGAATTAAAAAATTTAAACTAGTTTATATAAGAAGTCTACTGACTACTAAAACTACTACTACTACACCATATTATTTATAAACATTTATTCCATTTTGCAAGATATTATCTTTGTTATGAAGTGTTTTGTTTTGTTTTGTTTTCCAGTAAGATCTTATACTACAAAACGCACAGTGGTATATGATTTTAAACATTAATGAAAAGGAATAAGAAACACAACACAGTGAAACATTAATTAGTAAAAGCACTTGTTCCTTATAATTGTTCCTAATGTGAGCTTTATTAATATACTTATATCAGTAGCATAATACTACGTTGTCTTTAAACTTTATTTTGGCTTTTTAACAGCAACAACATGACTGAAATGAAGTTGAAATACAGTATAGGAACATACTGAGGTCAGACCACATACAAGGAATGGAAAGGGATGAAATATTAGACTACTGGAATTAAAACTGAGAGGATGAAAATATTCCGAACCCAGTGCTTACACCAAACAAATTATATCAAGCAGACAGTAACAAAGGAAATAAGCTGTGGACAGTATGACCAAATTGTGGTGAAATTATGGAATGAATTCTATTAAGATAGCTATTTTAATAAAGGTCACCAGATATTTTCAGACTGTCAAAGACCAACCATCTATATGATCCTGGAGTCTTTCTTCCTCATCTAATTTCTTAAATTCCTCAAGCTTTTTGCGATATGCTGAAGTGACAAATTCTTCTTTATCCTTGAATTCCTCTCCTTCTGCTTCACGTTCCTTCTGCACTTCCCGTTCTACCCGCCGTTCTTGCTCCCTTTTCCGTCGCTCAGCTTGTTTCATTAGTGACTGTATGTAACGTGGCTGTAAACATCATATGGATCATAAAAATGTATCTGAAAGAAGCTATTGGCCAATTGTGAAGGATATTCAGGCCCAAAACATACAAATGTTAAGTACTGATTCAATATGGTACATTATGAGATAACTTTTTTGTGCCAATATCTGAAATAGCTGAAGTCTATCTGTTCTCTGTGATTCTTACTGCATTTGGTCACATTAAAATCTTTGTATTTCAGGTACACAATTAATTATGGCCAACTTGAATGTATGTTATTTCAACTATATATATATATATATATATGTACACACACACACACTATACCTTCTTTTCCTGGTCTTTTTTTATTGCCTTTGTTTCTGTTTTCCTTTCCTCCAGCTTGTCATAAATTTCATCATACTGGTAGACTGTAGGATCTTGCTCAAGTGCTCGCTGCATTTCAAGCTTGGTTTGCTTCTTCTGTACACCTTTTTCTGATTCTTGCTATAATTCAATGAACAGAAATGCCTTTTAAACCACTGGACCCAATAAAACTTTTATTTGCACTAAATATTTATGATTAATTGCTGTTTAATGCAACACACAATTCAGGTGTTGCCGGGATCTGCACATTTTAAACTGGCCGAGGACTTCCAGGATCATATATGCTCTAACGCTAGGCTAATGTTACGTATTGTTATGGTGATTTATTGTTATCCGGCTTTCATTACAATTTGTACGCTAATGGTAACGTAACTTATATTTGTAAAGTATCTCTTTCCGCAATAACGAAAGCGGACTATTGACGGCAGTAATGTAACACAACAATGCCGAGTAAACAGATGATGTAGCAATTAGTTTCTTATGAACAAGGCACGCAAGCTGACCATTGTCGGTCCATATTTACACATCATTGGTATGGATCTTACACATCTTCATTACTCAATGATCCCAAACCTGTGTAGATATGATTTGTTTTTGCCATGTCCAGTCAATATTGCAGTTAGTTCGGGACGTATTACAATGTTTAGCTGCATTCATTGTCGCACTGATAGGAAGAATTTCTTGCACACTGCTCCTTTATTGGTGGTGTTCCACTCATTTTGCCATTTTATAATCCCTTCTTCCTTTGTTTCTTTAATAATTGTACTTTTAGGCTTCTTTGCATATACTACATTTCCACCATTTTCTGCTGCTGCTGCTGCTGCCTTCGCTAATCTGTCTGCTATTTCATTACCGAAAATTCTGATGTGTGCTTTGATCCACCCAAAATGAATAGTCCAATTTTGATCATCGAGTTTTCTTAATTTATTTTTTATCTTAGATATTATGAAGCCATGTTTGAAGTTGTTTTTTAGTAGATTGACAGAAACTTGACTGTGTACACCGCTACTATTCTTTCCTCAATGTTGATGTCCCTTAAAGTTGTTACTGCATCCAAGGCCTCTAGAATTCCGATCTGCTCAGCCTGATTGTTTGAGCAATGATCAGGTAACTTGGTTTTTAAACTATGAATTATTTCTCCATTTTTGAAGATAACAGCGGCAGCACCCACCCTTCCCTGGTGTTTACTTCCATCTGTATAGATTTCCACATTGTATTTATTGAAGTCTTTCACTTCATCAAGAGTTATTCTCTCCGCAGGATGAGGCCATTCCTTCTTGTTTAATGGTGCTTCGTACTCGGTAGAGTCATCTTTCAGTCCGTGTGTAGTTTTATATATCTGCACTGCTTCTTCGATATTAATGCAGATAGGCTTAACCCCGGGAACGGCACATGAGGCTTCATATGATAGTGTTCTGTTGACAGCAGGTAACAACAATGCACACAAGCTGGCCATTGTTGTCGGTCAATATTTGCACATTGTTGATATGGATCTTACACGTTAGGTAACAACAATGCCGAGTAAACACGACGTTCCCTAGGTAACCATTGTTGTCGATTTGTTGATCTTACACATTTTCCTTTCACTTTTTTGCCGAAAGACCCTTCTGTATAGACGTATTTATGTCAAAAGCGGATTGTTGAAGGCAGTAATGTAACACAACAATGCCGAGTAAACAGGTGACGTTTCCTAGGTAACATAACAATGCACGCAAGCTGGCCACTGTTGTCGGTCCATATTTACACATTGTTGTCGATTTGTTGATATGGATCTTACACATTTTAATTGCACGTTTTGCTTTCACTTTTTTGCCGAATGACCCTTCCGTATAGACATATTTACGTCAAAAATCAGAATTACTGTATTTGATATATTTCTTTCCACATGTAACATGTTTTAGACCAAAATGTAAAATTTAAAGCTAAATTATAACGACATCGCATACCAATAATGCCACAGAGTTTGATCTTCCGTACCTTAACACAAAGTTTAGCATTACTATATAAGATTTGCTACAAAGTGAAAAAAATTCAATATAACACACACTATTTTAATCTGCTGAAATACCCAACACTCAGGTTAATTAATGACACCTAATCGGAATACTTCTAATATGTTAATCTGTCACTCATTCTTATTTATAGTTATAATACCTGAAAGAAATAGGGTGCAGAACACTAGGGAAGTGAATATGTGGAACTACAAAAGTGAGTCAAGGGAATCCAAAATTATAGCATCAACCTTACTAATTATCTGACGAGATGACATTAGTGTACATGGGTTACAGTTCAAAAATGAGGAGTAACATGCCTTATTTTCTGCCACAAACCCTATAGCTATTTAGGAATCAAAAAGGTCTAGGTCTTCAACTGCAACTAAGGAATTTGTATGTATTATAACAATAAAGTGTAGTGTTAATTTAGATATTCCTAAACATACTGATAACTGCCAAGGAATGGGTAAAGTGATTAAATCTGTTGCATATTTTGAACTTGGAAATGTTTCTTTAACTATATTGTATTTTCTGAATATGATATTTTATTCTGACTTTTCTTGCTTCCAGGAACTATTAGATGCATCTGTGTCTATTGTCTATCATATGGGCTGAAGGATCAGTTTACTTCTCAGTATGAGGAGATAAACTCTTACGAGCATATATTAAATACATACATGAAACATTTTAAGACTTAAAATTTAAGTTGACGAACTATAATACTGGTTTCGAGAAACATGTTAAATTTCATATTAATCACACATACCTTAAGGGCTTTCTTGACCCAATCTGCACCTCCGTCATTGTCAGAATCACTATTATCGCCAAATATTGCTAGACGTGGCTGAAGTGGGCCTTGATTTGCCTTCTTTGGGACCAAAAGCCCATACCTGCAAGGAGATTTTTATAAAATTAGGGTACTTCAAAATGGAAATACGTATTTACGTTTAACGGAACTAATTCAAAATCAAAATATTTAATGTATATTGCAATATCATGCATATTTATCACACTTATCTCTGGTGCAACACCATAATTATATCATAAATTGTATGGAAACTGTTCAAAACAATTATAAAACTGTATTACAAACAAAACTTGTATAAACCTACTGTTTCTGGCTAGATGCCATCACATTCATGTACACAATTTAAGGTTATGTTCTAGTGACAATTAAACTCAATACAAATTCTCAAAGTTGAATTTAATTAGAATAAGAATACTTGATACAGTTTACAAATATTCTTAACGTAATTTTTTGTATTTAAGTTAACAAATTTGTACTTATGTTTAAAATTGATTTTGTAAAGAACATGTGCAAGGTTTGTGTAGTCTGTATAGAAACTATGGCCGCTAGACAAACAATATTAAACATACAAAATTTGGTAAATCCGAGTTTACTTACCGGTAAGCACAGTGCTTAATATTAATTCAGCATTTTTATAAATCTTTTTGAAATTTGTATAGAAATAGAACAATTTATTTGCTCCACAGTTCCTTCATAGGCCCAAGCCAAGGATGTATGTCTTTACAATACGGTGACCGGTTTTCATTTAGGAACTTTGATCAGTTTATTAAGGCTGAAAATTCAATGACAGCTGGAGGAATTGGGTAGATTAAAATGGTGTATGTTAGGTGTGATTACTGTAAACAAGGGAGTTTTGGTTTTCACGCCGTTGAGGATTGTGATGTTCTGGGTTTCGACGCTGTGTAAACTCATTGGTAGATGCCAAAGTTTCGGAGCAACAGACTGTCTCCAATTTCAAGGCAGAACCTTCAGCCCTGAAATATGTTTCTCCGAAACTCTGGCATCTGCTGGCAAGTGTACATGTATATGGTCAGAGTATCGTAAAGTTTTTCTTGGAATTTTTCTGTTTTGAAGATTATTTGTGAAAATGTATATAAAGCCCCTAGCCTTCTCTTGAATTTTGAGGGTATTGTGGGGCAGTGTAGCTTGCCTTCACATATTTGTAAATTGGTGCATCATTGATACCCCATATTAACAACCAGGTAAGGTTATAAAATAAGCAAACAAACAACTATTAACACTATATGGCACTAGTGTCTTTTTTATAGTGTTAATAGTTGTTTGTTTGCTTATTTTATGTTCTAATACACTACACGGTATGCAATGTTTTAAGGTAAGGTTAATTCAGAAGGGAAACCTGTGGCCTAATATGTGGCCAGGGAGCAGATCCATGGATCTGCTTGCAGTGTGTGACATTTGCTATTTGTGCTAATCTTGCATTGGTAATAGTTCAAGTCACAAAATTGTAAAATATGTAAGCCATTATCTAACACCATTCATAGTTAATAATTCAGCTCTCTTTCTCTTTTTCCTCCAGTTAAGAGAAACTACAAGAGATGGCTTGCCCCAACTCTGAAAGAACTGAAAAGACGAAAGATGAAGATGGGTCCAGAACCACCTACGCGGCGTTCTGCATTCTTAGAGTGGTAAGATGAGTCAAAGCACCATCAAATTAACACACACATCAACTTTCAAGAAAGCTCATTTGTGTGTATGTGGTGGGGTGATGCCTATGATACCCCTATGTTTATTTGTCACTATTAGCCTCTGCTTGCATGCAAAGATATAATACAGTCCCACAGCTCTACCCTTAGGGTTCAACACCAAGTTGTTGCACTCTCCTTTCCATTTGTTAATATCTGAGCTAACATGTATGATGATGATGGTGGATGGTAAGCAGTTTCTTTATGTTTTCTTTATTGATAAAACTTTTTTTTTGTCTAGGAACTATCATGCTGAACTGTTTGCTTTTGGAAAACGTCTGGGTGAAGAATTTCGAAAAGATTTACTTCAGCGTGCATTTACTCACCGTTCATACATAGTACAAGAGGAAATGAGACAGAAGGAAGTTGGTATTGAAGATCCAAAGCTCAGCCTTGAGGATAACCAGGAGTTCATTAGGAGAGGAGAAACACTCATGAGTGAATATTTGAAATGTCATCTCCGAGTTGCCTTACCTCGATTCCCAGAGGAAGGGATATGGTATGCCTTACTAATAAGCGTTATTGCTGTTTCTCATATAGTTTGTTACATGTCCTTTGAATGGGAACTGTTGAAGAGAAAATGCTCCTGTAGTTATTTGTCTTTTCCTAGGTTTTGTGGTGGATGAAAAATTGTTAGAATAAATTTTGTTTATGTTCTGTCACTTTCCCAGCTGTCCAATAAATTCTGATATTACTGAACAGGTTGGTCTACTGATAACACTCTATACAGGCAGTCCCTGACTTACATAAGTGTTTGGTTCTGTAAACCTTTAAATAAGTTGAATTTTACATGGATATGAAATTAACATAAATGTATGTGTTTGTCATATATACTTTAATGATACTCTGCAGATAATAAAAATAATTTACATGTGTGTAATGAACAATAATTTGTAGTGATACATTGTTAAAGATTGATGCAGAATGTAATTTTATTGTGATGTCAGATTTGTGTAAATTGAGTTTTATGTAATCTGCGGAGGTGCCCAGTTTAAATCCCAAAATTCTTACTGAAGTTTTTTGTACTTTTCTTAAGTCTACCCAGACAAATTCTGGAATAGTACCTTTGAAATAGACCAGGACCACATGCTTCTACATCCTGGCAGGGAATCCGTAGCTTAATGTGTGACTTGAACCATGATGGTGGTTAAGGGAAAATCCCTTACTATATCAAATTCAGGGAAGGAAAGGATATTGTCAAGTATTTTTGGCAATTTATGTTATTAGTTTCTTTGATAACATTTTACTTTGTGACACTTGTGTGTTTTCTCCATATTTTTCTTGTTTTCAGTGCTGTTCATGGCTATTTGATGACAGATAAAACATTAGCCCATGTTTCCAGACATCTTGGAACCAAAGATATAATTCTTTCTTCTGTAAGTAAAGTAATAGTAGAACTAAATTTAGTTTTATGTGGAGTGTATGAATACATGTCACATCATCATTGTCATTCAATGGCATTCCTTCCTAGGTAGGGTTGTCTTATGATGGTGTCCTTTCCATTTGTCTCTATTCTCCTATAATCACTCCTTTATCTGTGTTTGGCTGACACGGTTATAATGTTCCTGGTTCTGACCCATTAAGTATTCCCAATACATACCTATTTTCTGTAAATATATTTGATAAATTGGAAATTGAAGCTGAAATGTACCCTTGGTGAAATTGTCAGTTTTGTCTATATCCCTTTGATAATGAAGCTACATTTAAGGCAACATTTCAGTACATTGCATATTTCTTTATCTGTAATACTCTTTACCTGTGCCCTTACAGGATTTTCCTGTTGAAGAAGTTACTCTTGCAACAACACTGAAGGCTTTAGTTGGAGCACTTGCAGAGAGTTCTGGAGCAGTTCGGGCTAGAGAGTTTGTCCGTGATTTCATTCTTACACAACTAGCAGGAAGAGACATAAATGAATTCTGGGAAATAAAAGATCCAATGAGAACTCTTGCAGACATATTGAAACGTGATGGCAGGGGCGAACCAGAGCCAAGACTTATCAACGAAAGTGGACGTAACACAATACTTGCCACTTACCAAGTTGCTGTGTACTCAGATAAACAATTTATAGGATTAGGTAAGTAATTAATTGCTGGATTATAGGCAGAGTGAAAATTAATCATAATCCTAATCACCACATCATGAAGGATGCATTAAGTTGGCTGATATTCAAGCCTGAATATAAATCTAGTGTTAGTGCTACATCAACCTGCACAGTGTAGGGCATGGAGATATAACGTCAGTAGAGGCACTAGATGCAGATAAATGGTATGCTACACACTGGTACTGCCTTTACCCTAGGGAGAAGCTCCATTGTGCCTTAGAATAGGCAAAACTGTCCATAAGGAGCACACTGTAGAGGCATAAAGAATGTGAGGTAAAGCTTCAGCAGTCCAAATTTGGTCTGGAGCGATCACTATTGTGCACTGGACTCCTTTATTTCCAGGGAGAGTATTGTCTGATGAATGCTGTATGCATCAGTTTTCTGACACAATGTTCCTCAAAATTCTTTAATGCAGATGGAAAAATACCAAATTAAAGAAATGGGATGTGATGTCACCTCATTATAAATTCAGAAGTGAACCTTTAGTTGAAAAGAAATAAGAGGAATGGAAAATACTTGGACTTAATGGAGTTGGCATAAGTGACACCACAGTAAATTATACAATAAGGGGAATGCCATGATTTGTCTCCCTGTGGAACTAAGCGATTAAATCAAGGAAGTTACAGTGCATTAGACACGTAACATTGGGTGGTAGAAACACAAAAGATTTTAGTGGGGGAAACTTTCAGAAAGTTACCACTTGGAAGGTCAAGGAAGAGATGGATGGATAATATTAAAACAGTTTTCTTTTAAGTGTTTGGTTTTGTGGGTTGGATTAAGCCAGATAATTGATCATATTCTGGTAATAAGTCCATGGAGCAGAGTCTCTTATAAAGCTGGTCATAAAATTCCCTCATGCACATAAAAGTTCTAGGCATAGCAGTACCCACCTTCATATAAAAGAACACTGCCCTTGGCTTGGTGAAGTTTGGGGGGAAAAGAAACTACACATGTTCATTGGAATATAATAGTTTTAATCAATTATTCTTATGAAGATTATTTATAGCTTTCTTAAGATAAAAGTTATGGTTTGGAATTATTATTATTATAGTACATTGCACCTTCAAATTCTATTTTATTTTTTGTTAACCAATATATTGATGAAAAATATTGTCATTAAGGTCCTTTACCACATAAGCTGTGGATAGACATTGCATTTTGAGCATGACAAATAATGACTTCAGTATTGGTATTACAGAATAACTGGATACTGGGAACGACCCATTCTGCAAGTGCCTGAACACTGCGGGTCCCAACTTTTCGTTGGCTTGATCTATAGACATTTTGGTAGAACTCCTAGGACGAGGGATCAGCCCGTCGCAAGGCCTCTACCTGTACACAGAAAAACGCGAACAAACATCCATGGCTTGAGTGGGATTCAAACCCACGGTCCCAGTGACCAAGTGACACAAGGTCCACGCCTCAGACTGCGCGGCCACTGTGACCCCTATTACAGAATAAAGTTTCTTTAAAGCCGGCAGTTTTAATAAGATCTGTGGAATGTAGTTCAGGAATCATTCTGCTAGTGCAACATACAGGTATATTTTTCAAATTTTTATGTACCCATATTTATTATTTTGAATATTTGTTTTAGGTTATGGTGAGTCCATTTCCATTGCAGTTGAGATGGCTGCACATGATGCTCTGAAGCGTCTGTTCCATACCACAGAGAACATGAAACCTATCCCATTTACAGTGGATGTTCGTAGTATGTCATATGATGAATCAAAGTGGAACACAAGTGTTAATGACTGGAGTAGTGCAAAAGTTGAAAATGTTGACTGTTAATAGGAACCACTGCAGTTACCACTTATAGATAGCAAGAAGGTATTTGATATTCTTTTTCATTTACAACAGTAGGTTCATGAATTATTCTATGTAACAGCTATGTGTCAAATATTATATTACAACTTAAATGCTTCTTGTCACAAATACTTTTGAACATACAATTCAGTCAAAACTTAAAAAACTACATATACAATTTAATTATAGTTTGCATGATTAGTTTTGTTATAATCTTTGTATTATTGAATCCATAATAAGATTTCCATCACTGTCCCTTACTCTAATTCTTCCATTTGCATATCTTGTTTCCAGTTTCCCATCGGCATACACAGTCTTCACAGTTCCATCTGGATACTCACGGCGCTAGAATAAAGATAAACCAAACACAATTTTTAAGAAATTGTGGTAATATGAAGATGGTGTGTTAAGGTTGATGGTTGGAAAATATTTATTGATTTCAATTTCTGGAAAATAAAATGATACAGAATAGAAAAATTCAATAATTGTTGACTGGTGTGATCATAGTCAGAACAGTGGCATTTGTTATTTGTGGCTATCCAACATAGTGGCCAACAGTTGAAATGGAAACTTGAAAAGGACACATAAAATGAACTGATCTAATCTTTGGCAGTGGCATTTACAAAAATAAATGATGATGAACACACCACAGAAACGAGACTCCAGAATGGTAGGTTATATCTTTAATTTACATAATTATATTTGTTAGAACATTCCCCTGTATCAAAATGTAGGTCTTAAACTGTGAGAAACATTGCACTGAGATAATGTATTAGGAACTTCCAACAGCTTAACATCCCTTTGGTGACATATTTTTATGTTTACATATTTCACTGAATATTGTGATTTGAATATAAAAAAGCTTCATTGATGCTGAACTAAATTTCAGGTGTCATTTTATTTTAACACCTAACATAGAAACACTAATTTTTTCATGAACTAAATGATAACATACAAAAGGACATTAATAATCATCTTGGACATATATTGCCACGACATTAGATATCTCATCATTGGTAGAAAAGAGGCTAAATCAAGAAACATTAAATGGGATTTGGGTACTACTTGATTTTGTCTCAAAATATCTATGAGAATTAATTTTAAACATTATAAAACAAACAGCTCAAATCTCTTAAGCTTCTGTGTTGGTATACTACTACTATTATCCAATAAGCAAAGTATTTTGACTTTTGTGGCTATAAGAATAGTAACACCACTAAAACAAGTAGGCGCCTAGCAATTATCAAAACATGCCTGTGTGTTTAAAGTCAATAGTGCATTCCTGACTTGTCCTCTTACCAACATCCTCATGAATTATCTTGTTTCCCATTAGATAAAGCACATGTTACATAGAGCAGTACACTGTGTATTACCATTTCTCCTTTGTAATGCACTTCCCTTTGTCCATTTGGCAGGAGTAAAACCCTTTCATCAAGACTGGGGTCTGTCTTAACCACCAAACCATCCTGGAAAATCCATTCCTCACAACCATCAGGAAAACATGTCCTCACCGATCCATTTGGATATGTGACTTCTTTTGTTCCATCTTTCTGATGCCGCTCAGTCTGTCCCCTGATGATGAAAATAACAGAATTACAAGCAATATCCAGAGTGGATAACTAAGAAATAGACCACCTGTGGTAAGTAGAAGTTTAAGTTTAATTTCCAGCCTGAGTTACAAATTTTTCAGTCTTTAAAACCAATCAACAACACTTTTCCTTGCTGTAGAATATAGAAATTACTTATGAAGATGGGTGTATGAAATGTGGATATTTAAAGTCAGTTTGTTTAAAAGAGGAAATGAAAACATGATTGCCATAAGAATTATTTCAAATTCATGAACCTTCAGTCAGTATGAATGTCTTGTGTAATGAATAGTATCAACGTGTTTTTTAACTAAAAGTTTAACTATGAAAGGGGTAAGATGTGACTAGTGCTATCTTCCCTTCAAGCTTCCCAATCAAAATTCTGTAATAATTTTTTGTCTCCCCATTGGCACTATATGCCCTTTCAGTCTCATTCTGCTTGCTTTGATCATCATAGGATAATATTCATGGAATAAGAGTACTTTGCTTTAATCGTGGTATGTGACCTGGAAAATTTCATCCTCCCTGTATTAATGCATATAACTGAAGAACCTGTAGAAACACTTACTCTGGAAATTCAAGTATTTCCAAGCCATATGCATAAGTTGTGTGCCATATCCTTGTTTCAGCATAGAAGTATTTCACTGTTCCATCACTGAGTGTTTCCTTCACATCACCATTGTAATAAATCATCTTTGTGAGAGATCCATCAGCTGATGTCTTTTTTAGGTTACCATTGGGATACCAGATCTCTTTTCTTCCATCTGGATAGACTTTTTCTCTACCTTCAGATGGTTTTGATATTGCACTGGAATTTTGTGTAGATGATGTCTTGCACTGTTGTGATGTATTAGAAGTGTGTACGGATAACGAAAGTGACGAATTCTCCTGTTCAGAATCTGTACTACTAAAATGATCTGGGACTCCATTCTTTGTACTTTGTTCATATTTGTTGTCATAATTATGATTGGCTTCTTCTCCATTATCATTTTGTACAGGGTGCAACTGTTGTGAAGGAACATGTTTGGAAACACTGTTTGTATCAGATCTATTTCCAGGATAAAATGCCTCATATATAGCCATGTGAATTTTGTTATTGTCCACTGGCACATCTCTTGTTGTTCCATTGGTTTTTTTGATGTCATCATCTTCAGATGAAGATGAAACAATATCTAAAGGGGTATGACAAACTGTAAGTTCATTTGCAACAGTAGCTTTGTTGTTCTGATGGGAATTGTTAGCAGTTCTGTGGTTTATGACAATATTTTTTGAAGTTCCGTCTTCATGAATTTCAAGTAATTTTTCTGCAGAAGGCAGAGGGTTAAGATCTGGAATGATCGGATATGCATGGTACACTTTATTACACATATTCCCCCATTCATTAATCTTAGCACTTGGCTGTTTGGCTTTAGCTTGTCTATGCTGTAGACTGTTTTGTTTTTGAAGAACAGATTCTGATATCTTCTTTGTAGATACAACATCATGGACTACGATGGAATCTTCCAAGTCAGTAGGCTTGATTTTTGTAATATGATCATTGACAGCATGAAGTATCTTGGCTGTAGACACTCCATGATTTCTTCTTGTGTTGGATTTCACCTGTAAAAGAAATAAGACAGGATGTGTCATATAGGGCTTTTTTTCTGTCAGTGTGCAGTGGTATATACTACCATCACTTCTTTCTGTAAGACGTTTACTGAAACGGAGGGAATGATGGAGGTTGAAATGGAGATAAGTTGTTATTTCAACTCATGTTCCTAATTTTTGTTAATTCAGATATATTGTTTCAACATAAGACATGGGAGAGATGAGAAGTGATGTAAAATTGTAGTCAGAGAACCTAAAAGAAAGATACCACTTGGGAGGCCTATGAATAGATGGGAAGATAATACTGAAACAGATCTCAAAGGAAATTAATTGTGAGTGTGGAATGCATTCATCTGGCACAGGATAGGTTTCAATGGCAGGCTTTGTGATCATGATATTGAACTTTTATATTCCATAAAAAGCACAGAATTCCTTCACCAGCTGAGTAACTATTAGCTTCTCAAGAAAAAATGTGCTCCATGGATTTAACTGAAAATTCAGATGAGAGATGCACAGCAGAGAGGAGGGTGGATTTTGGAGGGATAAACTATCGCCCAGATGAAGCTGTTCTGATGGCTTTCAGATGTTACTTTGTTGACACTATACATTGTGCACAGCTGGACACTGATGACTGTGTATGTTTTGTCTGTAAATTCACAACATTATTAACTGCCACATTTTTAATGAAAAAATATGGCATCTTGACCTGCATGTTTGCTCAGCCAAAATCAGCCAGTATGGCAGAAGTACATAAAACTAGTGACTGAAGCAAAAGTAGACAGGTAACACAGGTCTGTCATCTTGGAAATTTATGGTGTGAAATAATACAGTAATGTCAAAATGTAAACATGAACTTGAATGACACTATTAAATAAGAGTATGTACATAGTAATAGCTAATAAATTGGAGAAAACTGCATGTGGCAAAATGTTACATTGAGATTCCACAACTAATTACAGTAAATCTAACCATTTTTATTTGACTTTTTTCTTTTTTGAGTTTTTCAACTTCATTCTTAAGCTGGGCATTTTCTTGTTCAAGTTGCTTTAGCCGATTTCTTGTTCGAATCTGAGCAGCACTCCACCTGCTATCTTTCTTGTGCATCTCCATTTGTAAGTCTGCCAGCTGCAAATATATACAAGTAAAAGAGATTAAATATTGAAATCTAAGACACTAAAACAAAGATTTTATCACAACAAATTTCATTATGATAAATTGCCAATTCTCTGATTCTTATTTATTTAAAATGATTTTTGAACTATACAGAATATAGAGTCAAATAGTAGGAGGATGACTGAATGATGAAATGCAGATGATGTGGAAGTAAATCAGTGACCTGTTTGAAGGTACTATCCCAGCATCTGGCTGAAGGGACTGAGGTAAGGCATGAAAAACCTCATGCAGCACAGACTCAAAAGATTGTGATTCAAATGTGGGGTGTAAATAAAAGCAGAAATGTTAACCATTCCAGATGTTTGATCAGTCAGTCCTTATCTGATTTTTCATGTAAGCACATATAAAAATATCTGAATGATAGTCCAGTATCTTACCCCCAAACCACCAGCTACCCTGTGTAATATATATATATATATCACTGTATTTTGAAAGAATATTCTTTCAATATAACCAATATGAAAGGTGTTAAAAGTGGGACAACTGATTATCCTAAGCAACGTCTAAATTACATTCTTGCACATTACTTAATGCATGGATATAATACCTGTTGCTTTAGAGTTTGTATCTCCTCTCTCTCCTGCTTTGTAGGCTGATTCCTTAAATCCTTACAGTATTTCTCAAATACAGATCTTTCTTTATTCAATTTTTTTCTTTCCTCGTGAATGAATGATTCCATTTTCTCCTTTTCTTCATTCCTCTTCCTCTCCAGCTCAATCTTATCCTTATTAAATCTTGTTACATCCTCTTCATGCTTCCTTTTTATCTTCTGCAAATTTGCATTTTCCTTGCGAAAAATATCAATCTCCTTTTCAAGTTCTTCCAACCGTGTCCGAAGCAAAGTGCTCTTGAATACAATCTCACTGTTGCCTTTACTCTGGGTAGTCGCTCCAAAATCAGTCTGATCCTGGCCATCAGTATGAGGATGAGTATTAGCACAGTCGTTTAAAGGACTATATACCGATGTTTCAACATCTACTGGAAATGTGTGTATCACTTGATGCTGATTTACTGTTTGGTGTTGAGATGATGGTTTGGGACTCTGCAACATAGTGAATGACTGATAAGTAGTACTGAATGATGTGTTGGGTGATCTGCTCTCTTCACTGCTAGTGCAACTACAGCCATCACTCCATGCCTGGTCATCTTGGAAGTGCTTGCTATTTCTACTTCTCTTGTTTGTAATTTCCAATTTGTGACTGTCATGATCATCACCATAATCAATATTTATGCTTGTATCACTCTGTGATGAAAATGATGTATCACCATCACTAAGAGATTTGTATTCATTTGTCTCTGCAAACCTGACATGTAAGGGTTTATTACAAGGTGAGTTACCACTATTATTCATCCTTATACTGTTGCTGGATGTGTTCAAACATCTCTCTCCATCATCTGATTTCCAGTGACTGCTGCTTCTTACTGTTAATTTAGGACTTCTGTTCTTTTCATATGCACCAAATTTCAGTTCATTTGTCAGACCTTTGTCAGTAGGATTTTCATTGTCTGCATTATCCAAGCCATAAGGAAGATACCCACAGCTAGTACTTTTGTTATGAAACTGAAGACTGCCCAACAACATTTGGTCTTTTTTGCTGTGCCCTTTTCGAGAATATGAATGAAGTGGGGATGCTGTACATTTCTCATTTTGATAATTTTGAGGAGCCCCAAGTAGATGATTCTTCACTGGTGTTGAATTTATAGGACCCTCCATCAGACGTGCAACTAATGAGGAGGTTGAACAGAAACTGGAATTAGCTGCATGTTGTTCTAGGAGTTCAAATATTTTTAACTCTTCTACTTCTTTCTGTTAATGAAAAAATCAGTGTATTTCAAATATAACATAAATAATACAAGTAGAGAAACATCAATTTTAAAAGTGTGCTGTAGCTCAAATCCTGAACCAACAGAATTTATTCTTACTCCAGAACCACCAGGACCCATCTAAAATTAATTTTTATAAAAAATTTAAAAATGTATTTTTCTTGTTAGTTTGCTTAGACAAAAAAGTTCAAACTTTTCTCTGAATACAGTAGTTGTTCTAATGGTCTGGTAAACATTCTGATTCATACTACATTTTATATGCTGAATAACACAACTAATCTGCTTTCAATTTTGAATTTTCCAACCAATTCAGTGAAATCTCACAGCCTATAAATGTACTGTGATAATGTGTTTCTTCCAGTTATGTACAATATTGTTTATGTGTGTGACAATTTAAGTTTTTATATTTGTAAATGTGACAACATGAATTTGTCACAAATTTTAAACCAATAAGACAGTTGAAGAGAAAAAAGATAAAAAGCATTCAAGTCATGCAGTCTCAGAATTATGGCAGGATTTTTATTTTGCAATAATACAAAACCAAGTTACCATAGTTCTGGAATTCATTATAGCGTTATTCTATATTACAGAGTCTTGTTAACACATTTCATTTGCTCCCATTTACCTTACTTTTTTTATCAGCATCTTTAACTTTTTCCAGAAATGAAATTTCTATAGAATCCATTGCTGGGCTACTTTGGGGTAAATCCGTCCTTTGCTGTACTTTAGGATCTGCATCTAGTGACTGCAATTTTGGGCCTTGTTGGTTTTGTAGAACATCTGCCCATGTAGCTATTGATGGTAGTGCTTCTCTGGTTTTTAGAGTTAACTTTGGCACTGCACTTTTTGGATACCAAGATTTTGAAGTCTTTGACAATCCAGCTGTATGACTTTTATCACTTGCAACACAATTTTTTGACCGTTTTTCCTTTACGTTGCTTTTGTTAGTGTTTGTCACAGACGAAGAAGCATTTTTCCTGGACTTGTCGCTTTGATTACTCAATTTAGTGGCACTGCGATTAGGCTGGTTTGTAATTAAAGTCCTCTTGATCTTATCCATACCATTGCTATTTTTCTGAGAATGAAGCAGAGTTGGCTTCATACGGAATCTTGCAAGACCTTCTCCTTTCCTTAGAAATTTTCTTTTTGGTTTATGCTGTTTATCTTCAAAAGCAGAATGATTATTATCCCCACCACCATACTGTTCCAATTTTTCTTGCAGAAGCTGATGAAAATCTTTATTTAGAGATGCAACAGGTGTCTCATCCAAAGTGTGTCTCTCTTTAGAGTTGTCTTTCATTACCTAGAATAGAAAAGTCTACAAAATACTTGCAATATTAACTACCATTTTTACAAGATAATATTAATTTCTTCCCCATGCTGATAAGTATAAAGAAATTAACTTAGATGCAGAGCACGCATTATTTACTTCAAATAAGTTTAAAATATTTCATATGCACTATTGTTTTCAGAATTCTACATCTATTTAAAATAAATAAATTACATACAGTCTGAAGAATGGGATTTGTATACGGATTATAATTTCCTGTCTCTCTGGCACTCAGATCTGAAGGAAACTCGTCTTTGTCATTATTAGAATCATCCTCTTCAGGGGTGAAGTCTTGACTCTTTCTGTTGGGTGAACTATTGAAGTGAGGTGATATAGTAGATTTGGATAACTGCACATGACATGCATCTGTAAGAGTATTTATTCAGTTAAAGTAATAGCATATTTATTTACATGGGTGGATGGTGATTAATATACTAAAGCAGTTACATACCCATATTCTGAAGTCCAAAAACTTCATACATCCGGTGCTGCTCATTACTGAGCAGCAGTCGCTGTTCCTCCTGTTGGTGTAGCAGTTTTTCATGTTGCTGATGCTGCCATTCTCTCAATTCCTCAATTTTTTGCATAATCGATCCAGTGTGGGAATAAGTTTGAAAATTCATTTTGTCGTTGTATACACTGTTTTATGCCAAATTGTTACTTAACAAAGAGCCATGGGTAGTTCAACCTTGATTACTTATAGGTTAAAATTTTAAAGAAATTAATGCTAAAAGGCAATCTTAACACGACTTTCATTGTTACTTTATATTATAAAATAATTCGATAGGTAAATAAATATAATCAAGGTTTACAGAAAACCGCGAAGTTTAAGTTAATAAACACAAATGAAGATCGAAATATTTCAGTCTTGTCAACATCGAAACACGAAACAACTTCTGAAACATATTCAGGATGTCCACCAATGAAATTCATGACGCTTGCTAACAGATGGCGGGCAGAAGCATTGAATTTCTGCCATCTGCAGTGAATGATTTAAAGTACATAGTGTTGTGTGTGTTCGTATCGGATGAAGGCACAAAGCAAATCAGCAAAGTAGGTGGCCACCATGCCAAATAGTATTTTTATTTCCTTACCAATCTTGTGCATGCTGTCCTCGTCTTGCCAATTATAGCTAATGAACAGCTAACTGTAAAGAGTAGAGTAGAGTTTATTTACATTCCATAGATCCTTCTTAGGACTCAACCAAAGGATGTAGAACATGTCATTTCATACAATATACATACACTTCAGAACTTTCAGCACAAGTACAAGAACGTATTTCACATATCAATCTATTGGTTTATGGGCATTTGTTGGCAATATAACAATTGGATATATTAAATTCAGTAGCTTTAGGGCCACCCCAGAATCAAAATCTAGCTATCAGCCCCTTAAAACAGGGATTTAAATCCCCGTTGCTGTAAGACAAAGGCTAAAAACTTTCCTCTTTATGTAGTTTACTGGAACAAATTGTTCTATACTTTCTGTAATTTTAGATTATTTTAAAAGATGGAAAACTATGTTTTTAATACAGTTTTCTTCCCTTTTTGTTATAGTTTAGAATAGTTTCTGAATGTTGCAAGGATAGTTCTACTAATCAGTGATAAATGTAAAATATGTAGAAATCACACAATGTTTGAAACAATGATGATCTTCTGGGCCGTATTTTGGTTCTGTGACAACATTTCAGAGGAACATTCAGCTTCCATAACCAGAGCTGTATGTTGCCCAGAAACAATGGTACAGATACAAAATATTACACAGCACCACAACCCAGAAGGTTCAATGTTCATATCACCGTGAAAATCAAAAATCCTGCAGTATGGTAACCAGTCATTTAGTTTACAGATTTACAAAAAATGACAATGTTTATTGCAGATTTATTATGTTATTTTCTAATACAATTGTTCAAATATAACTACACTAGTCACTAAGTTTATCAAAGTTAAATTCTAGTCAAATCTCTACTGTGTTTATGTATTATACCTTACCATCAACTCTTTGCTTCATTTAACATAATAAAATGCAGGAGAATTACATGTCCCTTGCCAGTGTTAAATTATTAAAATACAGTGCATGACAGGTATTTGTAATTAACTGGTCTGAGAATGTCAGGTTGCAAATTGTCCATCCTATTGATCACATAAGAAATTTCTCAAGCACACCTGTAATAACCTTGGTCATTGTCACCATCATAAAGTCTTGCCAACTTACGAATTGCACCTCTTGCTTTATCTGTCAAATAAGAATCAACTTGAGCAACAATGTTGACAAACTGAATCAACTTTTCGAAAGATCTGTTGAGTCTTTCTGCTCGCCCAAGCTCTTTCTTAAACAAATCCATTTCAGGACCTGCCTGGGGCTGTCTAACTCCTGGCTGCTGAAGGACTGCAGATTTTAGTATATCCTGAGACTGTCTTGGTTGGATGTTGTTTATCACTAAAGTGTTACTTTCCATCTCTAACTCTTGGTTCAAGTGTTCATAGTCTATTGGAAGCTTACTAAAACCATGATCACTAGTCACTGAAAAGTCATTTACATTTACTGGTAAACTATGTTCATTACTTTTGTTGTTGGTTAAAATATCTTGCAGAGGCTGTACTTTGTCTTCTCTAATAGCTGGGTAAAAACTCTGATTTGCTGCAATATACACATCATTCTGAGGTAAATTTTCATTTATTTCTGTGTCGTCAACATCCTGTTTAGTTGACTGGTTATTCATTTCTTGGATCTTCATGGGTGGTGAATTTTTTGTGCTGTCTGTAATTAGCTGCTTCATTTGATTTGTTTGAGATGTGTTTGTGGTTGTTTTCTTACCAAGATGTGTATTGCCTTCAAATAATGTTGCTGTAATAAGGTTTTTGTCAGGTAAAGAAAACTGAGTATTATTCTGAGGTATGTCTGCATTCAGTGTGATTTGTTTATTATGTTTCTCAGCATTCAATATGCCATTTTTGTTTTCTATTTCAGTGTTTGCAAAATCTTTCAAGTGATAATTTCGTTTGAAATGCCTTTGTTTAGCTCTGTACATATTGGCATGAATTTTGTTTTGTTCAACTGATGTAGAGTCATTTCTGATCAAAAAGTCATCAGTAATAGAACTATCATTTTTATGTTGTGTGTTTTTTTTATCAACATTAAATCTCCACATTGTCATCTTTTTAGGTTCCTCATTAAATGACTTGGGAATGTGTTCACTCTGCTGATCATGTTTAGCTGAACTGACCCTATTCTTAAATAATGCATCTTTGGAAGTTACAGCATCAGTTTGAAGCTCGGATGACAAATAGTTATCCAAAATTAGACTTTTGGAGTTCTGATCAGCTCTAGAAGATGCCTTCCTGTATGTGAAGTCACTTTCCACATTATAATGAACACATTTATATGATGGATTATTTTTTTCCTTGTTTAAATTTGCTTCTTTATTTTTCTGTGATTGACTGCTTTTACTTATAGCAATGATTTGGTTTTCTGTGTTGCTGTCAATAATTGACTTATTCTTATTACCTTCCAGAATGGTAGGATCAGAACTGATGCTGGAAAGTAACACATCTTGCTTGCTGGATAGAGGCATCGTTGTGACCTCCAAGTTCTTGCAGTGACACAGCATCATCTGGCAGGAGAAGAAATGGTGAGTGAAAATATTTATTTAAATTTTGTGTAAATATTTCTTGAAGATTTCTGTCGTCTGGGTTGTCGCGCCGTGTAGTCTGGTCGATGTTAATCAACGTTTCAGAGGTCATACTGCCTCCATCATCAGGGCAACAACCCAGAAGACAGAAATCTTCATACTCACCGTTATGAAAACCTAAAATCTTACATAAATATTTCTTAATCTATCCCTGCACAGTGATAAGAGTGGGAATATTCCAACCCATGGGGATGCTGTATATTTCGTGAATGTTGGCAACGTCAGATGAACATTTTGTGTGCAAAGTAATTAGAAATGAGCAGGTGAGACTAGTGAAATCTCTGTTTATGTGTAGTGCACAGAGGAGCATTACAAAGTAATGTTAAATAATTGTTTTCTTGTGCTGACTTGACTGTAAAACAGTGCTCTGTCATGGGCTTCAGTTTCCTTATGTTAAGGCCAGAGTTAACAAAATGCAACTAAAGCAATGATATTTAAGAGTGGACAAATGCCACATGTAACCAACCATAAGGATATGAGGTTCTCATGGTGGTCTGCTGGGTTGTGATGCTCTTTGGTCATGCAGGTGGTCACCAATGTTCTCAGAGGGCCAGCATCAACAAATATCCATCGAGTTCAAAGAGCTATTGACTTGTTGTCATTCACAATATTTTCATACTTTGAAATTTAATAACTTTCTGTTTGATCATAAAGAATAATGGTAAAAGCTTTGTGTTCTTGCTGTTCATATTACAGGAAATTATAAATCTAAGTCTTTGCACAGTTAAAAAATATAACTTTTCCATTGTAAGCAGACCTATTTGTAAACCATACCTGCATTGTTAGAGATGTAATGAGAGGAAGGTATCTGATGCATTCCTTCATATTTGAAGCAGCTGGAACTTGTAACAATTCTATAAAGGATGGTATTACTTTGATAGAATAGGACACCGTTTGACTGTAGACACTGTCGTGTCCATGTCAGCTGCTTGTTGCGGATTGTTAGGAATGTGTCATTATCAGCATCTAGAGCAAGAATGTCCAGGAGGAATGACTTGTGCTGATGACAGTGCATGATCCTTGAACACGTTTAGGTCTTAACAAACTGTTGGGATGTTTGAATTCGTGTTTTGAGATTAACCAACTTCAGTAGTTCAGCATAATTTTATTCTGTAATATATTTCTAAAGTTTTTTAGAGTTGTGTTCTAGTACTATTGTGACACTTCAATAGGACATTAACCATTGCTATTTAAAATGATGACGTTTAGATTTATCTACCGGCCACTACAGAGTAGGTAGTTAGTAGGTGTGTTCTTGCTTGAAGACATAGACAGATGAAGTCTCTGAAGCATAGTAAATTTTCGAATTTCAATTTTAAAAAATTGGCGATGGATAATGCCCTTCCAGAGCATCATGATAATTGCATTTGTATTATCTAACCATTTCCTTTGCAAAATTATGTAAACTTATCATGCGGTCGATATATTTGTGTTTATATTTCTGTACTAATCGGTGGTTGGCCTACATACAGAGTTTGCGTCGGATCTGTCTCCTTTCAGGAATACATCTTGCATTTATACAAATGGGCGAACACGTTACACCACCACTTAGTGACTCTTCTGCATTTTTTAGAAAATACGTCGATGATATTGTGATTTTCCGTTATTGGCATCGTATTTTAATGTACAAAAACAAATATTTAGACGACAGAAATAAAGGTTACTTACAAGTACGTGATATAGCAAAGGCGTGACTGCGGGGGTTATTCTGTACGAAAGATATTTGAAGGCTAAATGGATCTCACATTTCTGCAAATGTTGCAGTTTTTCACATGTCTATATGTGTATAAATGAAAGCATAACTGGAGTTTGATCACTCAAGGAAGAAACGAATTGAAAACTGAGACATCGAATAAAGTATAATGGGTCCACGTATTTTGTGTGGATTCATATTTCTCTCGCTTCTCTTCATTGCGTACTCGGCGGTAAGTATATACTAATACCGATGTTTCGAGTGTTAAAAATAATAAGTTTTCTTTAATGTCGTAATTGTTAAGGAGGAATTAACTTATCGCTTAGCGCTTCCGAATTTAGTGTAGAGGATCCTCGTTGTCAATCCCCCATAGTCGCTGTTATGATTGTCAGTTTTCGTGATTTTTGTTTTTTAAGTTTCCTCTGACGGGAAGGAAGGAATCATGGCTTAAATACGTCTTGTGATTGTTTTCAAAACCCGAAACATGTCCGTCGCACTCAAGCATAAAAAACTGTTCAGAAAATGAAACTGCACAAAAACACATCTTCAACTTCTTATTTGTGATTAGTTTTTAAATATGCAACTAGGCAAGAACGAAACCTCTCTCAAAATTTCGTATTTTAAGAGCTGTTAAATTCAGAACCAGATTCCCGTTCTCGTATGCCTTATCAGAAAAGAATCCGAGAAACGTGTGGGGTAATAAAATGCAGTTCTGTAACCTATGTCTTCCTTCTGTGCTGCTCAGATTCAACAAACAGATAATTTGTGTTAAGCATAGGGTTGTTTTGGAAGAAACTTCTGATGTTTCGGAGAATTTGCTGCCTCCATTTTCAGGATATCATAAAGATGAAATAATGACTAGAGCTAGGTGGTAGTGTGTCACGTGGCATTGCGGCCTCGTGACAGATGCGCATGAAGCATTAGTGGAATGATGATTGACGCAGGAAAATGTAAATTACGTGGAGAAACACCAACTTTAGTGTCACTTTGTCCGCCTCAAATCACACATTGACTGCTCTCGGACTGAACCCAGCAGTCTGACGATAACAGGTGACTTATCGCCTGAGCTAGAGAACGGGAATATCTTTCTTCTAAACGTCGGAAATTTGAGGAATAATTTATACACTGAGCATGTAGACATAAGTTCCTTCGCAAGGCCTAAACTTACTTCTAAAGAACGTCACGATTCCACAACTGAAAATAATTACTTATTAATTTGTCGTCAGATGCTTAAAATTAATAACTTTTATGGAGGATGTAGATTCTGTAGCATATAATGATGATGGAGTGCTGTATTATAATTCTTCACCAGGATTTCAACCATCTCATAAATTGTTTTTTAATATGCGTCTTATTTTTATCGTAACTGCAGAATTAATTTTACCTGAGATAATTTTGTTACGCAGATTATGCTGCGGAGATAATTGGGATAATGAAGGGCGTTGATACGAATATGAATTTTGATTTCCTGAGGGCCGGGTAAGAAACAGGTGTGGTATGTCGAAGGTACTAACTTACTCAAGTTTCATAGGCGCTGCGGGCTGAATTACCTTACAGAATTAATTTTAGGAACTGAATGTCGGAGGAAGTTACTGTTGCGTAATAATTATTTTGAAGTTAATTTTCTTCGTTAACTGTAACTGTTATTCTATTCAGGCATCAGCAGTTCCTATCAAAATAGCCACAGTCATCAAATCCTCGCCGAATCTTGAAAAAATTCATTGCAATGATAAGGAGTTCAAGATAAAGAATTGTGGTTCTCGCCTGCAGAAGAGGATGGTGGGACACTGCCTTGAGAGCGAATGCAGCTCTTATAAGCGCTATGGCGACTCGGAATCCGGGAAGTTCTCTCTATTACAGTTTCTACTAAAATATCTCAACTTCAAGTACAAAGCGTGGAAGTTCCTGAAGGGACTCCTGGCGCCTTGTGTCGGGGACTCCTCAGTTTGCTGACAGCACTTGGTATTTTTTAGGCTAGAGTCCTGTTTGTCTTTCACAAGACAGCGCAGAAAACGTGGAAAAACATCCATGCCTCTAGAGACATTGGATGTACATAAAACACGTTTTTCATGATTGTGAAATTTGGTCTCTTATTCTGTTAGAAGACTATAAATGGCAGGTTATTAAGGACAAAATATTAAGGAAATATAGAAAACTATGAGCTTTGAAGTACTATAACATAGAAGTTTTCGTGTTCATATGAATTTTAAGGCATTATTAGGGCGATTTCAGTGGGTTGGACATGTAGTAATGCAGTTTGGTGGAAAATAAATCAGGAAGGACAGAGCGGATTGGGAATGTTACTAATATTACTAAAAATTAGAATATCAATTGAAATGAACTGGTTGAGGGTAAGTTCGGTAGTTGGATTCCTTCTCGATAAATTTGTGCCTTCCGGATGCTGTCATTGAGAACTATTTATTTTCTTGTTTAAATCCTATTTTGGTAAAATATTGTTCAAATTATCGTATATTTTTAAAGTGATTTTTTGTCTATTTATTTACTCAACATTTTATCAGTTTTAGAGGCTGAAAAATACTTATTAACGATTTGATAGACACAAGAAATTAAAGCTAAATTTATGCTGTTTTCGAAGTTCGGAATTTTTAAACCTAGAGTGCATTGGATTTTATTTGTAAGGGATAATCTTCAGATATCTATATTAATAGGGCGTCGTTCGTTCAAGTGGAGTTTCCAGTACGTCTTTCTGTGCTTGTACTAAAAGAGACAGATGCTTGGATTTTTGGCTCAAATGAAACGGCTTATTACACAGAATTATATAACTAACCGAAGTTACTGAACATAGAATGAGAGTCACAAAACTTCTACCCACTGCTGTGTTCTGTTGGGAGATACCTGGCATAAACAGTAATCCTGAAGACTGAAGATGTATAAGGCTCTGTTATCCCCTCAGGGACCTACATCAGTGGGTACGGGGACTGGCACCCCCGAGGTACTCGAGCTGCCCGGTGCCTGGGGGTATAGCTGGGCCACCCTACCTCCGGGGGCTGTAAATACGGAGGTCTGGTCCTCCTTGTTGGGGGTTGGACGTGGGGCTGACAACCCCACCCTGTAAAAAGCAACATGTTACGAAATGAGATGAAGCAACTGCCGGATGAAGTCGTTCACGGCGGACTGGCAAACAGATTGTCTGTGAATGAGGAAGAATGGAAGAAGCTTTTGAAGTAGGCCAGGGCCCACACAGGGCTGTAGAGCCAATGATGATCATGATGAAGGCTCTGTTATGTAATGATCGAAAATATTTGTTTTGATTCTTTAATACTTCCTACATAACTGTAGAGGAATCGCGTTGAAATTTGTTAGGTGTTGTTAAACACTGCTTCCAATGATCGTACATTTGAAGAAACTGTTACATGTAACTGGCGCGCTGTAATGATTTTGGAATAAATAAAATGTTATGTAACTTTTCTTGTTTTGCGGTTTGCCATGTAGTGGCGTGTAAGAAGCCGAGAGATTTCTATGGTGGGCATTTCTCATCTAGCCATTGCCCACAAACAAATACAAATTTATTCATTTTCATTATCTGATCCTGAGAGATTTCCGCTTCAAGCAGGCTCGAAACGAGAACGTGACGTTCTTGTATCTGGTTATCCTGGTTGACGCTTTTCGTGCCTTTCTTTCAATATATCAATGCATATATAGGCCACTACCACTTCCTGAAACATCTAATATTATGTTACCCATAAAAATTTTATCATTTGACGTTGCATTTGCGAAAGTTATGTAGTTGAGAAAGAGTAATTAAATAAAGAAAGAGCCACTTCTCTAGTTTAGTGCATGTGTGAGTTTCAGAAAGACTTGCGTGGGCTTTGTAAGGAAGTTATGTCGATGTCCAATGTCTGAGGCAGAGTTAACTAAATTGATGTTCAACGGACAGCGGCTTATTATACTAGTTAGAGTGTACATATTTCGCAGATGTAAAAATGACTATTTTCCGGCAAGCGATCTTTTATTTTCGTTCCATTTAACGACTAAATACATTCTGTTCAACTTGACAACTTCCTTTACTCTCCCACCTTGTACGAAGTTTAATGGTGTGATTAGAAGAGTGGTGAGGAATAAGACTCCAAGTTTTGGAGCAGGTCGCTGCGACCCTCAGAAACGTGGAAGAGGAACCGTGTTACAAACACCAAATATTTGACGTCTTGAATTATTTCGTACGCCACTGTGAGTACATTTTGATTCCGAATATTGAATATGGATCATGGCGTCGTTTCGATCTTGATACTACACAAAGGCGTTATATTTTTTGTTGTTGCAAATTAACATGTTCAGGGTCAACACGTTGTAACAGTAATTGCATGTGTGAAGGATTGTTTGTTCTGTCCCCTTCTTCATCAACAACCACAGTTTTACAGGTCTCTGAATCAGAAAAGGTTTTTCCTCTGTGATTTAAATTCTTTTTATGGCGTTACAAATAGTTGATTATTAATTTCGAAGTGGTCAAATGAACCAGATAACATCAACCAAGACCAAGGTTTAGAATGCATGAGTAGCGTAAATGACTGCCTCAGTATCGCTCCCACGTTGGAGCGTCATAATTCTTTTATTTTCTGAGATAAACAGATTTTGATGCATCATTATCGTAAGTAATGATGGTAGAATATTTAAGTATATGAGTCGTATTTACCACTGACATTATGACCTTGCTTGATCTCATGAGGATCGGCTTGGTCTTTTATGTTTATTCATGTAACAAATATGTTTTCCTGTCGTTTGTTGAAGTAATCATATTTTACGAGATTTATAGCTCGCGTTATGGCTCGTATTTTGCTTTCTGTTAGCGTTTGTTTCTTAATTAATATTACCACAACATGCCACTTGCCTACTTTATATAGCAATGAATGGCTGATGACTATTAATGTTGCCGTAAGGAGGATATGAAAGGAAGTGATGGTTATCTTTATTAAGTTACTGTATTTCTTGGAGGTATTCAGAAATACGAATATAAAAAGCTACAATGTGTGTTATACTTCATTAAGTTTGCGGGACATGCGTAGGCCAAGTAGCGTCTAATGGCAAGATTGTGAATGACGAATTTGAAATGAAGCGAATGTGGCCTATTGTAAGACATTCTGGACGAAATTAGTGAATCTAGCAAATTCGAATCAGTATTAAATCTCTATGACGAGTTTTTAAGCCGAGATCTCTCGAGTATAAAGCAGGGATCTGTACGGATCGTTTTAATACACACCGTTCCCCTTTTGAATTCTAGTATTCCGAAGTACTTCTTCCTTTCAGGTCTTTACAAGGTCAACATTCATCACCATCCTTACATCTCATTCGATACAACGTAACATCTGAAGTTGATAGATTGTAATCAATGAAATTGTACTTTAATTAACACGAGTTGTGTAATGTCGATCCAGGTCTTGTATCCGCAGAAGACTGGTGTTGGGGATTGAAATCCAACTCAGACTATGGCTACGTATTTCTTTATTGCTTTATGATATTGGGTGCTTTACGATACGATGTTCTGCTTTTCCGCCCAGAGAGTCGTATCGCTTGCCTTAACCTCTGCAGAGTGCGAGATACGAGGGCACGAATCGAGCTGTAGCGGCTAAGATGATAGGAGGAACGGGATTGAATAGATGGCGAAAGAAATTGTTTCTTAAAAGAATTTTTTGTTTACTCCATCCTGACGTTTACAAGTGACAAGACACGAAATAGCTGTACTTGGCTGTACAATGTTAGTGGGCAGGTTGGCTCTGAGAGGC